AGACAAGGCAACTGGCTGATGCGCGTGAAAACAATAGTGACCAAGTTGCGAGTTCTTTCAAACTTAGAGTTCAGGTTTGAGCTCGTTTGCTTCGGAGATCTAGAGTGTCCCACGCTTTCTGGGTCAGTCAGCTAGGAGCATGCATTCATGATAAAGCACACTTCAGAGATTCAAATGAAAATTGCACTATGATTTTGTATTAATTCGGTTTAAGTGGGCCTTAAATGAGATCATTATGAACTGGTTGGCAAACTTTTGTTTTCCTTTTTTTAACTGAACTTGATATCCAGTTCAACACTGAATAGATATTTTGGGTTAGGTTATGGTTCTGATTGGTCATTTCGCTATAGTTCACTTGGCTTTACTCTTTTTCTAAAGCGTTTAACTTGACGACCAGTTACTACTTCTTACGTAAGGTTGCGATTTCCATTTGCTATAGGAACATATATAAGGGAGCTCTCAAACACTGGGCTGGGTTGTTCAAAGCTGGGTTTAGACAACCCAGGGTTAGTGTGAAATATGATTTCAGATCTGAAAGCTTTAAAAGAAGATTCATTATAATTCTTTTTGTCGACAATTTGATCATGAAATTCTCCATTTAGAATAGAGAATATGATCTCAAAAAGACCGCTCGAACAAAGGAGTAGAGAAACCTAGATTAACATTTAACCCTGAGTTAGTGCTAATCGGCCTTCAAACAATTGGACCCTGGTTATTAACACTGAGAAGTAAATATTCGAACAAGTTTTCGACGCAAATTTCTGCGGGAATAAATTTGACCTTGAATTGATCCCTCTTCCTCAGAGTGAAATAGGGAATGATCGAGAATAGATAATAATCGCCAAGTTTCGCAAGTAAAAGCCTTATTAATCACTATGTTATAGTTCTCCGACAAGGGCTGAATTTTATTTGACGCACTTAAAGTTCGATATCACACGTATATATGGCGAAGGTGTCTGGCTTTGAAAGGCAACTAATAGAACAGTTTATTAGTTTGAACGAAACTGGTTAACGTGTCGCGCCAAATGGCGAGTGAAACACTTTCAATAGTTCCAAAGAGCTCTAACAGCTCCAACGAAGAGCAGAGGCTCGGGACATTCATCATTATACTTTCGATATTTTTACCCATAGTTTTGTTTTTTTAGCAATGTAGTTTATTAGATGCAGTCCTCCAGAAAATCGTGTTTTTCTAGCCCCGTACTTGTACGATTCTGCGACATTTTCGAAGGACGTGGACTGGACTAAAACTTGAAGAAATACAGAACGGAGGAAATAAGTCGTGTTCTTCGATGAATTTGTGACTTTCTTGTTCTGACTCGAATAAGTGAGAGAAAAGTAATTTATTGTAGAATCTTATTCCTGGCCGTCCAACGCGCGCCCGACATATTGTTTGCCTTCACCTCGCTTAATTTGCTAATTACGAACTAGCCAATTCAGTTTTAACGCCTAAATACAAAAAATTATAACTTTTCCCTAAATATCCGAAATACATTCTGAAGCGATCTCGTGACGACAACAGAAAACAGACGAACTCATCATCAGTCACAGTCAGTAAGTAATGTGCCGCAGCATCAAATTCTCCTAAAAAAATAAAGAGAAAACGTGTTGCATGTTTATGGGAGAATAAAAGGTCAGAGGCAACAGGACAACTGCTATTTCATCGAGTTCTGTCATTATTTAGACTCAGAAGAAAAAGGCGACGAACGCCAACTATTGTTATGTTGCTAAATGCATAGACAATATAAGATTTTCTTTTCATCGCTGCTTTTACTTGCCTTAGTACTGCGATGTTTGATAGAGATAGCGAGGACTAATTCCAAGTACAAAAAAAGCAAATTTGTCGCCGTTGAAGCATTACAAAAATTTTACCTTTAGACAATAAACGTGCATTGAACTGACGGTAAATTAAACGAATAGACTTTATCAATAACAACCGCGTCAAAGCGACAAACAGATTGCTTAGTTGTGTAGATGGCAAAAAGGATTATAGGCCTTTACCAGTTGTTTACGATCACGTTAATTGAATTGTTATTACAATTATTGAAGCTAAATCCTATCATTTTGTGGTTTCGAAAAGTTACTGTAGTTCAGATCAGTTTAACCCAAAAAAGGATAATAATTAAAATAATAATAATAGTGAAACACAAGGATGTTGGTCTTAAAGAAATTTTGCTTAATCCATGTGTATTCTACACGAAGTATTTGCGCTCAAATATATGTTTTCAGTGTCAGTGCAACACCTGTTGAGCCGTCAAGCTTTGTAACCGTTTGGTATTTTGCATACTTGGCACGGTATCTCCGCGCTCCCAGCGTCTGCTGTTTGTCATCCAGAGATTTTCTGTCACTTGTTCAAAACCTGTCGATCATTGGAATTTCCAGTGTGTCAGAGCTATACAATTACGCCTTTTGTTATGGGGTGCAACGGAGAAGTGAGAAAGCCAGCCTATGTCTCGAATTTGACCGCATAACCTCGACTGATTGTTGACAGTTTACTTCTCATAACAATTTCTGATGCGCAATCTTTGCGGTGTAGTAGAACCAAAATAATCCTTCGGCCTCAAAAATAGCCTATATTTTGCCGTGACATGACCGCGGTAAACAAAAGACCACACCTTAATCTGAAGCATTTGGTGGAGCAGAAACCGGTGAATAGTCTGCCTCAAGTTTTATGGCGTAATTCTTTTTTATAAATATTTTTTGTTTTTCTCAGCAACGAATAGGGCGTTGGGACTTATAAGGCCACACCGAGTTCGAGCAAAGCGGTTATTGGTAAAGTGGATAGTGTTGAGGAAGTGCAGCCGGATTTGGAATTAAACGGGAAATTTCCCCCTCTGCATGGACTTAAGTCCAGATAGGTGCAAGGTCAGTTAAAGTTTTACAGTCTTGCAACTATTATCTTACATAAATTTTCAGTGATTAGTCTAATTCTCTTTGGTGTAACTACGGTATAACGCAGCTAAAATTTGGCCTGTGAAATAGACTATGTAACATTATATAAGCCTAGCCTTCATCATTTAAATGTGTTATTTCCCACACGTAATACGTTTGTTTTCGAAACGGAAGCATCAGCAAACTCTTCTTTTACTTCCTAGATCCTCATCGATTTACCAATCTCTTTATTTCATTGGTTTGTGTTAAATCAATAGCGATCATTATATCATCCAGGGTAGATTAATTTCGATGATAAAAGGAGCGGAGTATTTTCGGGCCTCCTGCATCCTTTGGAACACTTCATCAATCACCTGTTGCATTTCGTTCTAAATACATTTCATTAGCCACGTGCGCTCATAGGTTCGGCTCCGTATACATGTATTTTTCAGGAACAGAAATAAAGTCGAAATAAAAGTCCCCATCGATGCAATTTCAGGTTTATACAATACTAAAGACAAGTGTTTAAAGGTTGTTCTTGAGTTAAATCGGAAAAGTACGACAAGATTTGAGAATAACAAAGGCATGTTCTGTCGCCGGCTGCACATCTGTCGCACCTGTTAAAAGACCTGTTACGGCTTCGGCAAAATAGTCACAGCTTCCTCTGTAGAAAAACAGTAAACGGTTCTACAAACTTTTATTTTTAGTATCTAATCGCGCATCAAACAGCCGATCGCTGTCAATGGAACGGTTTTCTGAATTTTCCACCCCTTAACACCACCGGAAGTCAGATTCAATCGAAATTTCTTTCTAATACTTCAAACTGCGTGGGCTTTTTGTTCTCAAAGAATCTTCTAATTCCCCCCGTTTAACCTGCCACTGCTCAAATACAGACAAGAATCTTACACTCTTGATCAGTTTTGGTTCACACTGGAATAATTATTCATATTGATTTAGTGCTTTGTCAGTTCTTGTGAAGCAAATATGAAAAAACAAAACAAAACAAAAAAACAAATCGTGAACAGCGATTGATGAACGATGTCTTCACCTCTCGATTTCCGCCCTGCTACCAACCCATTTCCGGTTTTACGAAATCAAGTAACTCGTGACATTTTCTTACACATTGCACGAGAAATAAAGCTATTCTGATTTAAGCGGAACTTAATAAAAGTTTCCCTTAAATGTCTTAACAGAGCGCATTGACACCCACGTGTAAAAACACTTTGTGCGGAGGGGTATTGTTATAATAGCGAGAGGGGGTGGGGGGAGGAGGGCGTTGAAAAAGAAATTGTGAAGAAAATTTTGAGTAATTTTAATATAAGAACAAAAAGTTGACATGAGTTTCAGTGAATAGTATAATTTTTAAACAACTCATATTGTCCTATTCAAATTTAATTTTCATACTTGCAGTTTAGCTCTAGCTAAGCCGAAGGATTTTGCATTTTTGTGTACATGTATCTAACACTAGCAGCTAAAACTGTTGCAGTAAACAACGATTAAACAAACACGGCCAACAACAGGTGGAAAAGTTTCAGGGCTAAAAACTCCGAGGCTAAAAATATATATTGTGCGATAAGCGTACTGTTTTACATATGTATTCCAGACTCTCCGCTCTTGCTTGGCTCCACAAAAATTTTTATATTGACATGGCGACAAGAAGGTTCAATTTACAGTTAAGATCGTTTGTTGGACTTGTCAAATGTTTTGATCCTTCGCTGCCGGAAAACAAAGGGATCTGTTTGGGCCTGTACCTCAGACTAGTCATATCCATTCGCATTAACAAAATTAAAATCGAAGCTTTTACAACGATTTTTTTCTAATCCAAAGTCCAAAGAACGAGTCCAAAAGAGGGGTGAATATCACGATGATCTGTTGAAAAAGCGATCTTGCTGAAGGGAACCGCCTTGAAAAGTGTAATGCCTAAATTAGTTTCAGTGTGATCACAGCTGATTTGGTGTTGCGTGAAAAAATATTCTAGAAACAAAGCACCTCTCTACCTCGCCCCTCTCCACTGGGGCTGTATCGGTTCTTTGTTTTCAAACCAGACCAATGAAATTCGAGAACTCACTTGTGATGAGCCCATGGAGCAGGCGCAGTAGCTACTAAGGGATGACGTTAACCCCGGGGGGAGATACCGTCAGTTGCTTTATCCGGTCAATGGCGTATATCATCGGTCATGGAACTGACGAAGCTCTCGAACAGCGCAAGCTAAAATCCGTCGACTCGAATAGAGATTTTCAAATGCGAGGTGTTCACCTCATTCGCCAGAGTTGAAAATTTCACCATACTTCCTTTGGGAGTGTTCAACGACTCAATAACGACATCTTTTGTGTGTCTGTATTCTTAAAATTCCTCTTTGGGAAACGAAACTCGACTTCCTTGCGGGGAGAGATCCAAATAAGTGCGATTTTGCTGCAATTCATCGTTGAGTTCCTGCTTTCTTGAAAAGCCCTTTGGATACTTCAAGGCATTGTTTGTGCGTGCAAGTGTTTTCCAGTGTTGGATAGCGATTTTGTATATGTTTAAGGTGAGTGAATGAGGCGTGAAACGCTGAAGATCGATTTTGCAGTCTTGGGAACGTGCAGAAACATGTAACTTTGCACTGTGCTACGTGTAGGGGGGTATCGATCTATCTCGTGTAGTTTTCCCCAGGTTTTTATCAGTACTCTCGAGTCCCAAGACTGTTAAAGCGATTTCTTTCGAGAGAGAAAATCGGTGAATTTCAAATACGATGAAGCGCTTCTAAATCGGGCGCTTTGTCGTAATGTTGTGGTCCTTTGTTCGGGCTTGTCAACTGTTCAGAAATTTCAATAGAAAATATGCTGCTACAGCAAGATCGCTTTTGTAAAAGCAAAGCTATTCGTGTCTATTATAATGATGTTTCCAAAGTGCTTATTTTGTTGTCATTTAAGATTTAAATTTCGGTTTAAACTGTACTTTCTCAGTGCGAAGAGATCATATTGAGCTTTGTTATGCATTCGTCAAATTCACATGACCTCAAGGCAGTCTCTAAAGAATTTATTTCACAGCTCGGCATTTTTGACACTTTCTTCTTTATGTATGATGTTGAGTGGATGAAGTCGTAAATTTTAGTATTATAGTGACCGAAAAGTCTCATTTAAGTTTTACTTAGGCCATCCAAAGTCCACGAAATGTTCAATATACTACAATGTCCTTGTTTGTGACTGCACTTCAACAGGAAGTCTCGTAGTTTAGTTTTTGCTTATGAATGCATATCTCGCTTTGGTCACGAAACTTCTTGCTCGGGAATTCGAAAGTTCAGAGAGCTCGTGTTTTGTAATCTCTCAAAGCACGTTTAATCAAACATTTCAAAGTTGTGGATAAGGGCTTTGATCAACTTTTATAGGTATTCGTTTTCAATCCCAGCTGTATAATCTCGTTATAAACATAAATTAACATCTACGTAACAGTCGCCAGTTCGATGCGGTTGTAATATTTTGGAAATGTTTCTCAAGTTTTTCGCGGTATTCATAGCTTTTTGATGACCTGAAGATAGTTTACTTTGTGAAAGGAAACAAGATTGCTGGGAACATGTTCCAACGTAATCAACGAAAAAAAAAACTCATTTGCAGCCATTTATAGTAACATACACAACGCAGCTATTTTCTCGTCCGTACATATATCATGTACGAGCATCGTGTCTTGGCACAACATAGGGCCAGGGTGTTATACTTAATTATGAGTAATAATTGCATGATTGTTTAAGACATGATTCTGCTTTTCTTCTTTTAATACCACTAAAATTTTCAGGAATTAAATTTTTACTTCAAACAACATGTACTGGAAGAACGATTTTTATAGTTAAATTTAGAATATCTTGTACAATGTGAAGAGGGACATATCTTTGCTATGATTTTTAAAGGCTTGGTATGAAAGTATCAACAGACTTAATATATGACTCGTTGCTTTAGAATTTCGTTTCTCTTGACCTCGCACTTTCAAATCAGAGTTAGTCCAATAAGGAGTCGTTAAGCGATACAAGGGGATTTTGGTCTCTTTGTGAATGAGGAAAGAGTACAATTTTGATTTGTTTTCTCGGAAATGAAACTGCATCAACAAAAATAGAAGTTTTGTGGTATGACTTGAGTTTTTGATGAGTTATGTGCTTTCAGTTTGTTTTTTAGTTTTCTGATTGCCAAGCTGTTGGTAAGTGTTTCTAGAAGAAAGGGTGTATTATGGTGCAAAATTCTTTCATGCAAGGCTGACTGAAATATGTGTAAACAGGAAGCTCTTTCTTCTTTCTAATGATTAATTTACAGCCTCTCATTTTATTCCTAAGCCATAGTACCATAGTATAGGTATTTTGCGAATTATCCGTATGTGTGCCTGTTACTGTTTGAAGTTTTATACATGAAATGAAACACGTGGGCCTTGATTACTTGTACAAAAGATTTGTCTTATTTACTTTTCAAGTCATGTGAAAAGGTCACTAGAATTCAGTTCTATTTCTAGAGATGTGAAAGTTAGGTTAAATTTAGTGCAACTAGTGGGCTTCAGCATTTTGAACATGTAGAGCTTGAATTGGAAAGAGGCAGAGAAATTGTCTTTTAAATTGTCTTTAAAAATCTTATTGTACTTGTTTGAAGGTGAGGATAATTTTGTTTGACTCCTTGTTTAGCAATTAAGGGATGTAATGCTGACTTTGTTATACATGTGTACTAAATTAAGTATGGTCCACAGACTGAAGCATTTAAATTTCTCCATTTTTTAAGTAAGGAAATAGATTATCTGATGGTGGTAATTTTACATGACATGTACACATGCTAAATATTTCCTTTCTTAGAAACCTGTTTTATCAGCATTATAGAAAGTGGTTTTACTTCTGTCACATGACTGTATGATTCAGCATATTTCAATTTACTGGCTCTAAGCCATGATGAATCATTAATGTTTTGGTTGTGAGTTAAATGTTTCTTTAAACTTTGTACAAATCTATGGATTGGAAGTTAAGGAAATTTTATGGTGGTAACAACCAAAATGCAGCAAGGATCAGTGGTCTGCCTTTGTCTTCCACTTTCTGTTTTTCCCATTTTATCTATAACTTGTTTTTTTTTTTTAATTTGATGGATTCCTATTGTGTTTGTAACTACTTAGTGACAAGTTTTACTTCCTTATCATATGGGAAAAGGTTAAGCATGTGCTACAACTTATTTCCTTAAAAGGAAACATTTGAAAGTGGATTTGTCATGGTTCATGTTTGTTTGAATTTAGTTTGAATATGGCAGAAGTGTATTCATACCTGAAGAACAGCAAGAAATGTATTTTTAAAATATGTTTTTATAGTTCCTTGTTCATATTTTACATATTAACTCACCACAGGGGTATATATACTTAGAGGAGACATTGATGTTTGACTCAGAAACTACCTTAACCTTTATTCTGAATAACACTTGGTAGTTAAGATGCAAAAATGAGGCTAACAGTCATTTTAAAATACTTATTTTATTATTAAGTTTATGGTTGAACTATTGGATACTGATATTTTTATACTGACAGCACATTTATTGGAATGTCAGTGGTGTGTTCTGCTTTGTTAGATGTCTTGATATTGGTGTTGGTTAAAATTTGTGGCTTCCTTTGTATGACATTTGTATCCATTTGTATTTGAAACAACTTCATGTCTAATTGTTCATCATTTCATTGCAGGATACCCATGGTATTTAGCATCAATTAATTTCTGTAAAACTGCAGTGTGTGCATTAGTGGGTATCAATCATGCCGATTCAAACACCTCAATGGACAGAATTTCTTCAGTGTCCAATATGTTACAATGAATTTGACAATCATGACAGGCAGCCAATCAGCTTGGGATGTGGACACACATTATGTGTTTCCTGCTTGTCAAAACTGTCTAAAACACAGTGCCCTTTTGATCAGGCTTCTGTAGAGACAGACATAACCAAACTTCCATACAACTATGCATTGCTTCAATTAGTTGGAGTGGAAATACCAGACAATGGGCTTCCCCCAATTGACAGTGTTAAAGAAAATGCCACTTATTTTAAAAAATCGATAAGCTGTATTGAAAAGCTTGCCCTGTTCTTGAAACCTGTCAATGGTACTGTTAATGGTACAGTGAATGGAAACGTCAATGGCAGCACCTGTAATGGTTCTGTCAACAGCAATGGGAATAACATCCTTACAAGACCCATGCAGCGTAAGCTTGTGACATTAGTTAACTGTCAATTGGCTGAGGGTGATGGCCGAACTAGAGCCATGCGTGCGGCCAGAAGCTTGGGAGAAAGGACAGTTACAGAGCTCATTTTGTTACATCAAAATCAGCAACAGCTCTCAGCTAATTTATGGGCTGCCGTACGGAATCGTGGTTGTCAGTTTTTAGGACCAGCCATGCAGGAAGAAGCTTTGAAACTGATTTTATTGGCTCTTGAGGGTGGTGAGGCTTTGTCCAGAAAGGTTTTGGTTCTTTTTGTGGTCCAGAAGCTGGAATCTCAGTTTCCGCAGGCGTCCAAAACAAGTATTGGCCATGTAGTGCAGTTGCTTTACAGAGCATCCTGTTTTAAGGTGAGTTTATGCTCCATTAGGGAGGATGTCAGTGGATGTCTGTTAAAAATATGACTAAAAAGTGCAGTCTACACAGAGGACTTTGTTTTTTATGTACAATAGGTAATCAAGTGTTCCATGCCTGTAGTAGATTATAAATGTAATTAAGAGGTTTCTGTGTGATGCACTGTGTATGTATTACTAAAATTGCATTTTACAAGTGTTGAACTGCGAATGTTGACTCAATTTTTTCATTCAGGTTGAGAAAAAGAACAATGAATCATCTCTGATGCAGCTCAAAGAACAGGTACAGTTTCAGTGAAATAGTTCATAAGTGTTTTAAGATGTATCTACCATTCAATTTCCAGGTTGGTTAATTTTTTCAAGTGAATACACATTTGTAGGGGTTGTGCTTGTTAGACTTAAAATCACTATTTCATTCTTTTTTTTTTTTTTTGTGCCATCAGTACCGTACCTATGATGCACTGCGGAAAGAACATGATGCACAGATTGTGCAAATTGCAACAGAAGCAGGGCTGCGCATTCTCCCAGACCAGTGGTCCTCACTGCTCTATGGGGACATGGATCACAAGTCTCACATGCAGTCTATCATTGACAAGGTATGGTGCTGAGTTATGGTTTCAGCTTTAATGTTGTAAAACCCTACATGTAATACAATGGAACTAAGCTTGTTGGAAATATTTTTGACATTATTGTTCAAGATTCAAAGCAGCAGTGCCATCATTGTATTTCTATCATGAAAAGACCTGTCAATTTTTCAAAGGAGTGGTGTGCATCACAATTTTATCACTAGAAATGGTAGCAGTACTGTTAAGACTAATTTATTTTATTTTGTTTTTAGCTCCAAACACCTGCCTCATTCTCCCAGAGTATCCAAGAGCTGATCATTGCCCTACAGAGATCTGGTGATCCTGGGAATCTCTGTCAAATGAGAGATCAGTTTGAATTACTGTCCCAAATTGATGCTTCTCCAGGTTTGTGTGGCACTCTCTTTTGCAAGCATGGCAAGTTATCACATACAGAAGCACATGAATTTTCATTGACTGAAGCTTAAATAAGTTCTTGACATTAGTGGCCTGTTTTGTTTAAGTTTTTCTTTATAACTGGAGGATCATACACATGAAGACACCCAAGTTACACAATTACAAGTACATGTACTTCAAGGCCAAAAACAATATTGCATTACCAGTTAAGATAACGTGTGTCTTTAATTTTCCCTGCAGAGGCATCATGTCCAGCCTGGGATGAACTAGAACAAGCCATGGTTTCTGTGCATTCTGTGGTCCATGGACTTGTTGATTTTTCAAAAGTGAGTGATGGTGTTTTTTTCTTTCAAAATAAAAGCCACTCATTCCTTGATTTGACTCTCTTTTGATTACATGAAAACTACATGAGAGCTCTTTTGGCAGAGGGAGGATGACCATTGTGATTAAGGTTGCTTTTGGCAAAGGCTAATTTGAAACATCTGCAGGCCCATCATTACAAAAGAACAGATTTGAAAAAAGCACTAGATGCATACAGAAGCAGCAAGAACAACCATTGAGTATATAAGGGTCTCTTTATATAAGTAGATCATAACCATTGCTGACAGTTTTAGTAATCATAAAAGTACTGAGTAGTACAAAGCATAGCTTATGCTTTTCCTTTATTTTGAATATTATTAGTCACATGGCAGAGGAATGAAAGGATCTGGTGATCCACCACAAGTAAGTACAATTTGAAGTTTTTTGTTTTTGTTGTAAGTTTCTTTAATTTCCAGTGATCTTGATTTAGTCTTACTCACTGTAGTCTTATTTGTGCATCAATCCAGGCAGGTGTACTAGTAAACTGGGTCTAGATTATCCCTAAAAGCAAAGTAATAAGTGTAGTATTTACATTGGTTCTTTTCAGGATAATAGCAATTTTTTTCCTCCTCTTTTTTTAGTCACACAACAACAAGTTCAAAACCAGTATGTGCAGGGATCACACAAGAGGAGGATGTCCTAGAGGTCCCCACTGCACATTTGCACACTCAGAGGAGGAGTTAGAGAAGTGGGTGTTGATCTGATTCTTTGCTTTAAAGTTTAACAATTAATTTTCATGCTGAGCTATTGTTAGGTCCAAATATTATTGTGTTTTTTTTGGGTTGCATTATCCTAAAGTCTTATTTCCTAAGCCTACAATAAACATTTGGACATGAATCACAGTAGACCTCTTATAGATGAGTAATATCAGCCACATCACAAATTCAAGTTTCTTTCTATGATCATGGATTGTATATTGTGTCTTAGAAAAATGAAAATAAAAGCTGATCTAAACATGTCAAAACACATTATTTTTTTCAACAACCAGGGTTTGAGCAGTAATCCATGTTCTTCTTTAATGTGTGTCACTTTTAATCCCAGATTTGGTAGAAGAAGAGCTCCAAGGCCTCGGCCCTCACCCATTGCTAGAGGACCAGGACCATCTGTAGCACCAGATCAGTTTTCACCCCTTGAAAATGGTTGTGATGGCAGTCCAACAGCTACCCAGGCTCCTACAAATGGTGTTAATGGCTCTGCAAGGTCATCTCCACTTTACATTTCTCCTGGTAAGAATTATTGTGAGTTTATTACATTGTAGTCACTGATTGTGTCTTGCTCCCTTTTTTCTCATGGCCGGTTCACTTAAAGTATGTACAGATACATGTATCTCCCCCAAAGTCACATAAGGCTTTATTCTACACACCCCTTCCATTTGGCTCTGTGAACTGTCACTGAGATAACACTGGTTTGTTCTTCAGGTGATGTCCCACAGTCCACTAATTGTTATGTACCTCAGGCTCAAATGGGTCGCCGAGACAGCCAGGAACAGATACTGGCACATAGAATGAAGCAAGTATCCTTGCACCCAAATGAATCTCAGTATCCAAATGGCTTTTGTGGACAGCGTCCAGCTTATGATCATTATGTATCTTCACCTGGAAGGGAGAGGCAGCAGTTTTTCCCATACTACACTCCTTCAGCTGGTCACCCTGGAGGTTCATATTCCAGTGTGGTTTCCAGGGGAAAGGATGTTCCAGTCGGTAAGAAATAGTTATATTCCTCATGAAACTAGTGGACATTATTGCATGGAGAAGACTAGCAGTAGAAATTCATAACCTTGTAATCTGCATCAGAAGTGACTTCATCTTGTGAGAAATGAGAACACTACATTGTTGTTAAATGTTTTGCATTACACTATTGGCTTGATTTATGCAGTACATGTAACTGAAACAGGGATAAGGTCTTGATTTGGAAAGAATAACTGTTTACAGGAACTTCTCAGAGCTGGGTGTCACTCTCGTTGTCAAAAAAACAATCTTGAACCCTTTAACCTCTAAGAGCACCTAGCATCAAATTTCACCTTAGGATCAGCTTTGAGTCCAACATTAAGGTCATGAGAATAAAAGAAATGATTGTCAACTTAACACTTTGACTCCCAGATAAAATTTTAAATTCTCCTTTCTGTCAACCATACAATTCTTATCATGTTAGTTCAGATAATTTAGTGTTGGATCAACTAGTTATCCCCAAATTGATATTTTTCTTTATTCTCAACACTTATCTGGTTGATATTGTATTGATATTGTAAGGAGAAACTCTGTCTTGGTCACTCAATACCATGGTAAAATTAAGGTAAAACAGTAGGGAGAATACTTATAAATTATGTTGATAGGGTGTAGAGGGCTAAAGCTGTTTTTTTTGTTTTCTTTTGTTCTTTTTCACCCATTTTCACAGGAGTTATGACTCCACCACGAAGTTCTCCTTTGACTGTCCAAGATGAGGGATCTGGACTGAATGGCATGGTGAACGGAATGGCAAATGGCTTGGCAAATGGAATGACTAATGGCATGCCAAATGGCTTATCGAATGGCATATCAAATGGCCATATTGACCATCATGTGGGTAGGGTTGATCACCCTTCTCTGTACAATGGTAGACACAGACCTCGACCCTTGCAGCCACAGCCTGGAAGTTACCACACCTATGATCATTCATATGGTGGCTTTCCTTCAGACCCAACTTATTACAGGTAGATTGCCGCTGCTACCACAATATGTACTGCTTGTCCAAGAGAGCAGTATTCAAAGTTTAACTTTGAAATGTGCATGTGCTTTGCAGTTTTGTCATCCATTAAAGACGATTTATTGAATAAGAGATCTGAGGATTGAATGGCAAGGTGTTGTCTCATGGTATTTACCCTGTCTGGGACTGACCGTCTGTTTTATTGTAGAATAACGTGACCTTTTTCCAGATTTGGTTTTGATTCCCAAAGCAGTGATGAATACAGTTCAAGGAACTGACTGATTTGGCTGGACAGTTGTGAAATTCTGTAAATAGAGTGGTCTAGTTAGCCAGTTGTTGGAGATATTGTAAAGTCTTTTGAGTTTATTGAAGATGTCCCGAAACTTCTGAATATTGCAACAAAATCAAAACTCAACTTACAAGTAGATTAACACGCTAACGAGAAGGTTTAGTTTCTAGGCCTTAGTTGTATAAAAGTCGGATGACGTTATCCAACGGATAAATGGCTCTTCAGCGGATAAGTGATTGCAAAACCTACTACGCTGCCCACCGAATAGGGATTTATCCAACCTTTGAACGACTGGGGCCTGGACAACAAGTGTTCTGTATTCGATAGATTTATGCGTTTTATCTGCAACTCTTAGGCGATAGGAGTTTGCAGACCAGTATTTTGTTGTAATCCTTTCTCTCAGGCACATTCTTATGTAATCTTCTGTTGTATTTCATTACCTTTGTGAACAGTGCTCCACCAGATTACTACACCTCGCATTACAGTGGGAGGCAGTTGTCGTCGTATGAACAAGTTCATGGTGTGATGGGGTACCCATATACGCAGCGCGGTGATTACCACCCTTACTCAAGGATAATTGACTACCCTGAAACTATCATGCATAGGGGGATTCTACTGCCACAGGGAAGGAGTCCTTACATTCCATCGGATGTTGGTGATGATAAGGTTTGTTCATCTGTACATGTTTTCTCTGTTCACTCTGTAATCTGATTCTCCATGCACTGGAATCACGAAAAACCAGTTTTAAATGATACTAGTGCACTTCTCGGCGGTGCTTTCCAGTTTTTTTTAATTTTTTTTTTTTTTTGTCATCAGTATCTTTTATCCTCACCTGAATCAATATAGAATCACTTGTCAACACTTGCACCCGTAAATGATGCTATTTTTGTGTGAAATTTTTCCAGAATGACATATTATCCCAGCGGAAAAGCGATGCGACCCTTGACTTTGATCCGTCTGAGGTTTGGAGGAAGGACAATGACAGTGGTGTCAGCTGTGGTTCCCCTCTGAGCCACTCTCCTGCAGCTAGTCAATCGTCAAACTCCAGCTTGTCACCAAGGCAACAGTCCCCTGTAGGGTGGCAACATGGTAATGATGCTACTGACATTTGGAGAAACATAAATGAAGACAGCAATGGTTTCCCGTCATCTTTAACCATCACTGACTCGACGCAAATTTGGAGTCCACCTCGTGGAAATGAGGTATTCTTAAAACACATTGAATCTTTGAACTATAATTGAGCTCTTTGCCAAAGAACTGATCTTTTGACTTGTAGCCTTTGTGTGGCTATCTCAAACTAATCTTAGCTCAATTTATTTTTAGCATTCTCAGGTGCGCAAGTTATGGCATCCACTTTATGACTTGAATGACGAATGGTCGAGGTAGGCATAAAAGGATTCTGTTTTGGTTTTAACTTATTAAAAGGAGGGAAGGGAAACGGATTGGGGAGTGGAAGATTGTGTACCATTTGAACCTGCTGTTAGCTAAGGAAGCGTTAAACCATTTAAGACACAAAATAACCGCATGTAAATAGTTTGAAAGGTTGTTTGGATTTTTTTCTGCGTTATATTCAAAACCAGGAAAGGTAGACCATGGTAGCTTATCTTGCAACCTGCCTGCAGATGTTAATTGTTACGCAGCGTTGAAATTGTTTTACGTGATAAAAGCGAAAGATTCTAGTGGTTTTTTAATGTTCTTATTTACCAGCCAAGAGGAGCAGATCAAGAAAGATGAACAGTATGCACGTGCTCTTCAGGAACAGTTGAAGCAAGGTGAAACAACAACCCCTCCGGAAACAAGAGGAAGCGAGCTGCCATCGCAGGGCCGTGACCCACAAGTGAGTGAGAAGGTCAGGGGGGTGCATTAACGACTGCTCGTTTATCTTACATAACGTGATTTCAGTAAATTCAAATTTTGGTTCTTAGTAGTATTTTTAAGGTCTTCACCAAAGGCAAGGTTTCTTCGAGGTGTTATTTTACCTTCTCTACCAGAATTTTCTTCAGCACAGTAATCTGACCCTCACTTTCCCTTCCAGGATGTTCCTGACCGCGGCTTGACTATTGATAACTTGGAGACCGAGGCCGAAATGAAGCGGAGAAAGCACGAAGAACACAGGCGCCTGCTACAGGAACGCCGACAACTTCTCCAACAACAAGAGCGAGAAAAGCAGGAACGTGACGACCGCAAACTTGCGGAAGAATTGGCTCTTCGAGATGCTCAGCAAGCCGGCATAGTACCAGATCCTCGCTGTATCGTGAAGCCTTCTTTTGCCAACGTGATCTCCCGCGGGGCCCCCATGGGGCTTGGCTTCAGTGGTAAGGGGAGTGATATTCCAGGGGAGCATGACCCTTTCCGTGGGTTGAGCAGCTACCGTAGCTCCTGTGCATCCTCTTGGACCAGTAGTGATGATGTCATGGATGCGTCAAAGGTGACGTCAGGCTGTAACGGAGATATCCGCGTGCAAGAGTGAAATGTTGTCAATGTTAAATAGGAATCGTCATTGTACAAAGTGTTAGCTTGAATAATAACTTTTAAGAGTGTTGACGATTATGCAAAGAATCGCACCCGGGTCGAATCGCTTGACAGTTTCTTATTCTAGGTGTTTTATGGAATGTTCCCTTTTTACGGTGTGTTTAGCTTGATTATCTCCCAGTTTAACTGGATATTTCGTCTTGTCTTTAACTAATCATTGTTAAATTGAAAGCACTTTTAAAGTGCCGGTCAGTAGTCAAGGTTTTCAGTGAAATGTTTATCAATGGTTCGTAGGAAACTCGTTGTATTTTTACAGAATTTTGGATTCTGTAAGCGTAATGATAATGCAGCAATTAGTTTTAGAAATTACCGATTTCGAATTTTTGTGTTGACTTTTGATACTAGCGGGTTTGAATAGACAGTCAGACGTCAACTCTTTCCCAGACTCTTTCAATCTGTTGGTTGGAAGGGAAAAGCTGCGAACGAGGTTAAGCCTAAAGCGAGGAAGCTGTGATGCATGAGCTGTTCACAACGAAAATGCTTCAGAGCAGATGATTATCGCGTGATGAGACTGCACTTAAACAAATGCGATTGACATCAAAGGGTAAACTCCAAATTTATATAAACAAGTAGGAAATCGTTTCAATCAAAATGGTTAATTTGTTTTGATGTAAATCTATTGTGAAGAGAGCATGATTAGCGTTCAAGTTGAAATATCAATCCCTGTTATCTGCTTGAATCTCGAAGGCTTGAGGGAAGCACAGCTTTCCTCTCCATTCTGGAAAAACATTGCGAAAAGAAAAAGTGCAAGAGAGTTCAAGGATGATTTGTGTAGACGAATGCTTTTTACTCTTTTGAAGGACAGCGACGTTCGTTGTCGTTGAAGAATTAAACTGGACTCTCGTCTAGTAAATTAGTGATAAGCATGTCTTTGTGTATTTGGCCCAGGTGGCAGTAAGAGATTTGAGAGGCGAAATCGTATTATATTAGCTCTTTAACTGACCGAAGGCATTCGTTTATTCTTTCAAGAATCGTTTGATTAACTCTTGACAAACGTAGTGTCCATTGATAAATATGTATCGTGAGAAAAAAATAATAATAATGTGATTTGACTTGCTGACAATTTATGGTGTCGTGTAAAACAATGGATGTATTTCGTCATTTCAGATAGAGTTAGTATTAACGAAAAGAAACTGTAAATTAGTATTGTGAAGTTATATTTTTGGCTAGGTCAGTGATACGTTTGTCTTGTTTATTTGATTTTAGTGATTTAGTATTGCTATATCTTCTGTATGTTACTTTTTTCAAACATTTGCTCAATGGTTGTCCAATTTTTGGCATTGTCAATTTTTTAATTTGTTATTGCTATTATATATACATATACATGTCGTGAATTGTTAAAAATCGGTAATAAGGAAATGTGTTTTGTGTTTCTTAACCGTATATTTATATTGCGTAGTTTGGGTTGAAGCTGGGGGAGTTTTGTCCGTTGAATTTTAGATACAATCTGCCCTTTTTTTTAGCGTGAGTGCTTTCTAAAGTTTGCTAGGAAACAATTTAAGTTTATGAATTAATCAAATCTTCACGAAAAAAGCAACCAACTAGCTTTAAACTTTCGTTCATGTTCTTAAAAGATTAACTTTTGAATTCGGGTTCAAATGCGTGTTAATACTCATGAGGGTTTGAGATTTTGATATTTAACGAAATATTTCAGTGGCGATAAATTATTATTCCGCTCTGATCTGTAGTGATGGACTATGTGGGAGGGTTTGTAATTCTAAGAGTGGCGATTTGAAGGCATTACTCAGCCTATTAATTACTGCTATTAAAAAGAATTATGTATAATATTAGTACTCATTAGAAATATTAAAAGTAGGTCGTGACAATTTTGGCCCCAAAATTTATTTAGCGCCGCAGGTGCGCAAGTGTGCGGTACACCATAATTGGGCAACTTGTCGTTTTGTTTTCGTCGCATGGCTTTCATTTTTCCTTGGGAGGAGAGACTCGGGAAGGTGTGAATTAAATCAAATGGAAGCCAAACTGTCGTAAAGGAACGAGTAGGTTGCGTCTTGATTATCATGATTCTAGCGCGGAAATAAAAGACACCAAACGATTGTAAACGCGTTGTTATAGTATATTTTATTGTACAATAAATTTGTATGTTGTTTACCAGTGGAAAAGGCTAATAAAAGTTGGTAATGTGAGATCAAAGGTTATCCTTTCGCGTGGCTTTAAGTAGTGAAATATGTTTTTTGCTAGAGATACGTTTTCATTCCTTTGTGCCGACTGTTTTTTAATATTGTGGGGAAATGAAATTTTTTTTCCATTCCCGTTTTTCGTCTATTTTCAGCGCTGTTAAAAACGGAGCTAAGTCGCATGTCCAAAGTCTATTCCCTTTTCCTCCATTCAATTTTTGACAATTTTGACCGTTCTCGGAAATTGCTGTTTGATTTCGGACGCTTGCCTAAATTTTCGGATGGTTCCATTCATTGTCGGACCCTTGAGTCTGTTATCGGACTCTTTCGTCCGTATTCACAGTATTTGTTCGATGTTTCTTCCCGTAAGCTTTTGTCGCTCCGTTCATTTTTGTTCGAAAGGCTCCGCTCTAGAAGAAGTCTCTGGCCTATTTTTTTAATATCTATTATTGTTTATACAATAAGCATTGTTTTTAAGTATTCATGATATTTTCTCTTGACATAAACGCACATGTATCGGTAAAAGCTCGGTTCATGCAACAAACGAATGGGAGAAAACTTTCATCTTCGGCGCATGACGTCAGACTAAAACGAGAAACTTGAATTCATGCAGAATTTTTGATTGAGCGTCTTTACTGCCAAAACTAAAGAAATCACAAGGGACAAAATGCTCTACAGAGCCAATGAGCACTCAAAGGAAAAATGAGTGTTAGAGGCGCGGGAAAACGCGGATGACCAAGTCGGGATTGGTTTTCTAATCTTGAATCTTATTGGTTGGAGTTTTCTGCACCAATCACAGGTCACTTCCCGGATGACTTTCGTCACTCAATTGAAAACTGTATCGATCGCTGAAGCAATTCTCTATGCGCTCTATAAAGCGGTATGGACGAAGTCTTGTCCGTTCAAATAAACACACATCCCCCCCCCCCCCTCTTTTACAAATTACATTAAACCACGCGACATATCATGATAAAATTAGCGTTCCAAAAAAGAAAAATAGGCATGAATAAAACACACCTGGCTGATGGACTGCGTTGTGAATGAGTAGGTCTTGTTTTGACCGAACTGCAAATTTATCAAAACTTCTGAATGACTTCTGGATCTAAACATGGGTGATTTCACTAGCAACTTAGCCAAATTGGAGCTTTCACTTATTTAACAATCTAGTGTTACATCAGTCATTTCCAATTTATTTCCATGGGAAATGCTTACGTCTAGTTTTCTTTCGCTGTATGGAAATGGATTTTGTGGCCTCCACATCTGGAGAGACGTAGCGTGACAGCTGTAATCTACAGGCGTGGTTGCGAGCACATTACCATGCAAAACTGTTTCACCCTCCCTATTGGTAAAACAAACCCCGCGTTTGGCCAAGATAGCTGAAGAAACATCTTGCGTTCCTGCTGAGTCCCTCATCTATCCGCGGCATGTTATACATTTTTTGATTTCCTTCTTTATGTCCCTCTTAATCAGCCCGTAAAAAAAGGGATTCATGGCAGAGTGAGCCAGAAGGAACAACCACGATATATTCATAGTGGTGTGAGGCGAGTGAGTCGGAGCTTCTGTGTTGCTGAAAGATTGTTTAAAATGAAGATAGGCTGCAAAGAGCCAGCAACCAACGAACACCAAGATCACGATGCCAAGTACCGTGATAGATCGATCGTGATTTGGATGTCTTGGTTTTGCCTTGAGAGGTGCAGTTTTACCATCTGTAGAGCGTTCCACATCAGATTCCATTCCAGCACTTGACAATTCGCTCTGTGCTCTACTCCTTGCACTGACCACGGTCAGATTCGGTGCAGTGAATTCTGTTTCTTTCAGCACATCTTCTGCAGACATAGTAACGGAGTAGTTGAAGTCCACTTGATCTTTGAGGCGCTTCTCCTGTTTCTTATGTCTCTGTATGATGCACACGATTCGCAAGTACGCCAGAGGTAGCGCAATGCAAGGAAGTCCCACAAACAGGAGTGTTTCGGTGATGGCAAACGCTTTCATCCCCGTTCCCTGTTCCTCAGGACTCTTCAGCAGGTAGGTGAAGTGAAGGAGGGTCACGAATAAAGGGACGAACCAACATACCAAGATAGGGATCAAGTACTGACTGACTTCAATTACGACGGGGTACGTTAAAGGACGAGTGACAGACTTGTAACGATCCCAAGTCACCAGACATAAGCTCAACAGTGAGGTGTAGACGAAAAATTCGTACATCGCCAGCTGGATCTCTCTGGAGCATGTTGTCCAGTAGGTGCATAGTAACTCAGGTGGGGTTACAAACAATCCCACGCACAAGTCCGCCAAGTTTAAGGACAGGACAAACTTGTTTGACAGGTTGCGTCGCAGCCTCCGTCTTGTTACGAGGAGAAATATCAGTGGGGTATTTCCGAGAATCGTGAAAAGTGCGAGAAACACTCGTATAGTCCAGTACAAGCGGCTTTTCGCAGGATTGAACGAATGAAGACGTTCTGTAGAAGGCCCCGCGGCAACTGAAGTGTTTGAACCAGTTGCCATTAAAATGATTGATCCAAGTTCTGAAGCAAGAAACAGAGATCAGCGCATAAGATCATAAGATCAGCGCATTACCTGAACTCTTTTTTTAAAGAACCTTTTTATGATAAAATTTGAGGCTGAAATTAATGCAATGTTGAGAGCGCTGGTGTTTAGAACGTGCCAAGCTGATAATAGAAGGTAACTAGGGACGAACGAAACCCTTTTATTTTCTATACATTTTTTTCGGAACGAAAAGCACGCAATAACACAGTGACCTCCACCTGTTTCCCAGAGCATAATTCTGTTTCTAAAGCAAGCAGAATTTTGGGCAGAAAACGTCATGTCTAAGAACTGAGCTGATCATTTAGACTGGCCACCGCAATTGATTTTTTAACCTATTCAAATTGTCTACTCATTTGGTAAAACCAAATTACCTTGTAATATCCCCCACAGACAAAACACTACAGTTTCTTTAGAAAATTGCCCCTTTTATTCGTTGTTTACTAGTTTGGTGAGCAGATATGACACGCATTGGAATTGGAGACAAAGACTCCCGATACGAAATTAGAGACGTTTAAGACACCTGTTAGAGATACGTGCCTACTTTCAGCCCTGCAAGAAAATTTTCCCCGTACACTAAACATCTTTTTCTTTAGTTTTATTTTCTAAATAGACCAAGTTACTGGGGGAAAATTGAAGGAAAAAATATAAGAAACATGCATCAAAATAGCCGTAACTTAGATTTCAGCACCATTTAAATTTTTTTTGGTGCCGGTTTTTCTAAGCGGAAGATGATAAATGTTTGCTTACCTTGGGGACAGAATTCTGTTTCGCGAATGTTCTTATTATCAATTGTGCTGCCGTGTTGAACGTATGCAAATAGCAAAAAACGATGAGATGTTTGTCAGTAGAACGGAAAGATAAAATTAATTATGATAAAAATCCTTTATCAGTTATTTCCACAATACACCGTTTTGTCTCAAAAATTTTTGATTGCTACTGGGTTCATATCTTTGACTTTTAATTTTAATTTTTTGTTTTAATAACTTCTAGCTTACACCTGGAGGGTGTGTCGACTCTAATGGACATACATTTCTAAAAGTAAACCCGCTCATCAGGTTTCGTTCAAATAAGCAAAGCAAAGTTTTTTGATACAGAGCCAGTTTCATAATCATTCTAAGCTTTTGAGTCATGTCCTTACTATTCTAGAGTTCCTTTTACAATACTTTTAAACGTCAGCAATCATTATCATAGTCCAATTAAAGCGATTTGATAAAGATGTCTTACCATCCTTGTCGATATATTTTGTTTAAGATCGAATGACAGCATATGAGAGAAATTCCGGTTGGCGCAATCGGCCTCTTTTTCTTTAATCTCCCTGAAAACTTTCTGGAACTCGGCGCGAACAGTGGGTGAGTTCTTTCACGTCTTCTACGTTAAGGGCAAAAACTTGCGCCTAAAAGTTTTAGTTCTTGACCAGGAGGCGTAAAACCACTTTCATATGTCCTTGTGAGGACTAAAAATTCCCCGTTATTCAAGATTACAAGTGTTGATCCAATTCAGAGCTCCAACCATCGACCACTCGCGCGGTATTACGGCACCGCCTCTTCCAATTTGTTCTTTGAGCTTCGTAATTTTTTTTCTCAGTTTTATCGTCAGAATCATCAGCCTTATTTCTATGGCTTTTTGAGGCTATTTTACAGTTGTATCAACCCAGTTAATGATATAAGCGAATTATGTTGTAGTATATCTTATCGACGTAGCAATACATTTTCTTTAAAAACTTGCCCCCTTTATTGATTTGTTATTTCTATGGACTCTAAGAGAACTCTACTCTGTTAAAGAACCTTGCCATATGCGAATGCATTTTGTTTTTCGTCTCAATTGGCGCCAAATCTCCCTTCAGCTTAAAAGCTTATCCTTAAGCTTTTGATACTCTGACTCATTCTTTCAACTTAAGCTACAAATATGCAATTGTATTATTATAATAAATTCACCATCATCATTCTGAAAAAAAAATGATTGATATATCTAGATTCTGAAAATAGGATGTATCACTTGGCAAATTTACCTTAAAGGGCAAAAGAAAGAAAACGGAAATTAAGGAAAATTGTAAATAATTGTTGAGAAACCCAAACATTGCAGCTTGCGGGAAGAATTATCCAGGATCATGTTTGCAACCAAAAAAAGAATTGGAGACCTAATTACAAGATGTTACAGCCATTTGTTGAATTTAAGATGTGTTTATTGCTTTCAAACTGACTAAAAGTTTAGAACAGTAAAAGTGACTGTAACGAACGCAAGTTATCGACTTTCTTTTTTACGGCAATTAATAGGATCTAGTCTTGAAAAAAAGGAAAAGAGGTAAAAAACATTATCGATATCAGTCTGCGTGAATAGATTTCTGGGATAATGTCAGTTAGTTATACCGCGTGCGGCTTATAACACCGGCTGTCATTCTACTGCACTGCTTGGGAAACGTCACAAAGAGACAAAATGTAGATTAAGAATAACGCCGCAAGATTTCACATGGTGAACATGACTTATTTGCAATAAGCTTTTACCTGTACCCCGAAAATGCAATTTCATGATTGTTCGTTTTTTCAAAGACAACAGGAACGCATTTAGATTTAACTCCAGCAGTGGTCGTTAATTGTATGTGATCAATTATTGATAACATATGAGTCATCTCTTTTTAAGATGCGGTGAAAGGGCTTTAAAAGTCGATAATTCAGCAGAATGTTTAAGTGTAGCTGTCGGCGAGTAGAATGAAAATAATTAAAAATTCAAAATGTCTTTCAAATCTGAATTATTTGTTGGCCGTACGTGACTCACTAAAAAAAGTAGAAACACAAACTACAACCTCAAGATTCACCTCTCAGGGTTTGTTTTGTGCATGTTATAGTTTCAGATTTTTAAGCCATGGCAAAACGTATTACTCTCAGGCTTGAATTTTCGTCCTCAAAAAACTTACGTAGGGAGTAATTCATTAACGAAAAAAGGCAAACAAAGCAAAAGTCCTTGCCGTAAGTCAAATGTAGGAGTTCAAGATTTGAAAGCTATCATCATTCCTGATTGCTTCTTAACCAACATATCCCGTCCCACGGCAACAGAAAGCTTTGGACAGAATGTTCACCTACAAATTATCATAAGTGTTAAGTTTCTACCTATAGCCGACTTTTATTCCAGAGCTCATAATTTATTTGATGCGTCTGCAACGACAAATATTTGGCCAGGAGTAGCCGTTAGAACGAACAAGTAAGGATGAAATAAAGATATTTTAAAATTGACGCCGAAAAGAAAATTTAGGGAAACGAATTTAGCTAACATTTTTATCAGACGTCGGTAACATGTATTTTGTGACACGAGTTTCCCTACGACGACAAAATTATGACGCAAAATGCCCTCTGTGAAAAACGATAATACGCGAAAATGCCGGCTTAAAAAAAAATATTTCTTATGCACAAAAAGGCAAAAGAAATATACCCACCTTTTTATCGAGGAAGCGCTCCCAAAACCATTATTTGCGGTACACAAAAACACTCCGTACTTGACACGAATTGTTATAACTTTGGGTTATCCGTGTGGCATATTGAAATTAGATGGCAGGAAATCCAATTGGCCGGAGCTGTCACGTGATCTGTAATAACAGATTTCCCGCTTATCAGCGCACTCACTTGATGTGTCTTTTCACTCACCGAGAGACAGGTCGTTTATTCTTACAACTCTCTTAAAATTAACTTAGTGCTTTCACCTGCGGAAAAAAAAATGTTTTCTCCCTTTATCTTTAAAACGTTCAATTTTACGGTGTCGTGCAGTGAATAATTTTTTCATTCGTGATCTTCGCTCGAAACCGCAAAATTTAAAATTTATACACAACATCGAGATTGAATACATTTGAAACCAACACCTGTAATTATTTCCTAATTTGTTTGAATTATTCATAAAAACATGCGAGATAAATAATAAGAGAGGGAAATACTATTTTTAGTAGCTGACAACACTGGTATACAGTTGGGAGAGATGTCTTACTCACCAAAAGGGGAATTATAATTTGATATACCACATAGAACTTCTAATTCATCGACAATATGATGTGGCAGTTTTAGGGAGGCATTAGGAATCAAATCTTTAGGAGTGTGAACTTTTGGACCTTATGGTCAAACCGGTGAAAAACAAATAAATGTAATTAACTTGTTTTTATTATTTTCAGATATGGGAAAAGAATTTAGTCAAAACATCCAAAAACGCTTTAGATACAAATCGTGGAAGTCTGGTTTTTCGAGATAAGGCCGTACTGATGCTGGCAAAACATAACTGACTTCTGAAGCCCTCTCTCGAGTGGTTTACGTGGTACAAAGCCTTATCGTTTTGTCGTCATAAATTCGGATGTCCTTTTTTTTTTTTTTTTTACCAAAAAATCAAGAGGAAAAAAAATTCTCTACCTTAGTTTTTTTCCTCTTTGCTGATTGGTTCTGTTCTGCAAGCCTGAGAATTTTTTGCATATCGTTCAGAACGAATTTTCACGAAAAGTTAAGGAGTCCGATGGCTAAGCAATTGCCATCAAATTTGCCAGCTGTGAGAGGTTCTTCTCTTTGATATTGAAAACTAGATGGAACCGCCGATGTAGTAAAACGTGACCTCACGCTTTATAAATATTTTAAAACTGAGTCGGAAAGGTCAGGGAAATAAGGGAGGGGAGAGAAGAATGAAAATGACCAAGGTGTTGGGGAAGCACACTCAAAATGGCTTTGTACCGGGGTTCTCCGTCCTTATTACCAAATAGGGCTACTCTTTTAAACTTATACATCTGCTTTTGACAGAAAGGTACTCTTTTCATCTATTTCCGCATAGGTAGTGGTCTTGGATTACATATGTCTACGCTAAGACATTTTTTAGTAACAAAATAAAGGAAAAAGGCAAGATAGTCTCTACGATAGCCAATTCACATCATCAACTCAACCTCTATTTATTATAAGTAGTATTATCAAATTAAAGTTATTATAACCATTACTATTGCCATTGTAAACAACTTAAAGAGAACCAAACGAATAAGAAACGAGATCGCTGTAAGTTTTTCATCTAGTCTCGTTACCAGTGTCCCACAGACTCTGGTCACGATTTGCATTTCACTTCCGCAGTTCGTGGCTTCAAGCGCTTGTGGAGTCGAAATTTTAATAATTCATCAGAAGTGAACAGCTTTTTTGGCTATTCCTGAAGATCTGGTGGTGGATTGTGGTGTGTATCATCGAAGGAGTCGCTGAAACCAGTGTAAATAACGTGTTCAAGGTGGGTTTTTGCTTAACACTGTCTGACCTCTGGAAGAACGCATGAAACATGAGTTCAATGCAAGTAGTTTGAATTCTGCAGAGCCAGAAGAAAGAAAATAAAGATAATTTTTACACACCGCAAGTGTAGACCATGTATGCCGCCAGGCACTAAATATGAAATATTAGATCCTGGTCACGGTTTCGCTTTTGAAAATGGGAAATTAACTTTTCGATGCCAGTGTTCTACTTTTTTTCGACTGTGCGTTTTATGTCACGCAAGCGGGGCGTCCGTTTCTGTCTAATAAGCGTCACGAGCGGCTGGAACTGAGTTAAGATTTGTATATGGTATACATGTGCACTGACGGTTGCGTTTAAATGTTTCCTGTGAAACCTGTAACCTCATCGCGGTCATCACCCGAACCACATGAAAGGTTTTAAGAAAAGCAACGAAATTAAGACTTCATCTGCGATTTACCCGAGTAACTGAGCTCAATTGTTCGCATATTGATAACAGCGCATTCATTTCAGACAATAGTATTTAAGATGAATTGGCTTTAAGTTAAAGCCAATTCATCTTAAACGATTTTTCTAACGAAAGATAACACTGATATTTCATGGTGAATACTAAATCATAGTAAATTTGCCGTATCTTCGGTGGTGTTCATGAATATAATACAATAACGTGACGGAAATTCGTGTTCGTGGTACGGTTATTTTCATTGCTTCGTGCCAATCGGGACCACCCAACTCACTTCCATTTCACTCGCCTTTTTTTTTTTTTCGATTACGATAACAATGATTTCAAAACGTTTGATTCTGGTTATTGATTGAATATAATGATCACTCTTACCTCGATAAATCATCGATAGCCTGGCCCGTTTAACCCTTTAACCCCTAAGAGTGAATAGCATCTAATTTCTCCTTACAATATCACCCCTGAATCAAGCATTAAGGTCACAAGAATCAAGGAAATGATCACCAACTAAAAAAACTCCTCATTATTGGTTGAATTCTCCTTGTAAGCTCCTTTGTAAATGTATAGAGAACAGTATGGAGAATATTCATACTGATGTAAAGGTGTAAAGGGTTAATTAAGGGTCGATTTCAAGTTTAACTTGCATCACAGAGTGGATTCGCCTCGTATCTGGCTTGTAAAAATAAAACCTATGTTGAATCGGTTGACTCAAGACTTATCGGAGTCACATCCAAATTAATTAGCAAAAATTAACTGTTATTGGTTGAACTTTTAAAAACTCCAAAGTTTTAGATTGTAACTACCGTATTGCCGCTGGCACTTATACTAAATGGAGAAATTCCTTTACTGATTGGGTTGTTGAGTTTGTTGAAGTCCTAAATGTAATAACATTTGGTCCTAAATGTAATAAAGTCCTAAATGTAATAACTTTCTGTCCTAAATGTAATAAGTCTCCAATGCAATCGTTTAACTCCTTCAGTGCATTGTTGTTATGGCGGACATCCACATTGAGATGTTAATGACAGCTGTTGTACCAAAAAAACCGCTGACCAGTATACATGTCACATTACGGGCCCGCTGATATAAATCAGCGTCTTTTTACTTGCTAGACATATCAGCAGTCGAACTATGGTCCTTAAAGCGGTTTCTTGATCGAGTTCAAGAAAATCATTTCTAGCCCAAAGTGGGCTAGTGCTTGGCTGGAAGCTCAATAGGATGGAATCGATTGGTACGTAATCATTAAGACTTTTTGGAAAAGAAATTGACTACAATTGATGATGAACTAGCATGCTATTGTTGATGTTATCGTTCGTGTTAAAGTCTTTAGTAGTGATGCACCATTTTAGTTAATGTTAATCCAAAGAAAATTATTATTATCAGTAGCGTTACTGAAATTTTGCACATCAATGTTATTCAGTGTCAATTGATTTTAATGAAGCATTTGAGTTCATTTTTAAGAATGACTATCCTGATTTATTCAATTTTGAACCTGGGGTATCGCATTTCTAGCCCTCTATGGCTTTACTCCACCTCAGTAATCAGTTCATGTACCATATGACTATAAGTGGAAACTGTTGAGCTTTCTTTTTTCATTCATCTATTTATCTATTCATTTTCTCCCCTCACGGCAGGGAGACGAGATGAAGACAAAAAATGAAATATAAACTTGAGATCAACTGTAAAATATATGTCTTTCCAATATTTGGTTCGGGAACTGATGAACCCGTCATAAGGGGCTAAAGGAAAAAAATGAATGGTTCATTAGACCGTCAACTGACCATCATGTGTTGAATGTTGTAGCTCAATGGTTCAATTTGACTCTTGCGTGGAAAAAAGGCAACATGTCGAGACCTGTGATCGTGAAATGGGATAACATATTATTGGTCAGTAGATATCTTGCTCTGTAAGCCACTTTATCATATAGCTCGCAGCGCACGCGGACAAGATGAAGTGAATCCTGTGTTCTGATTGGCTACCTGAGCGGGCATGATAGGCCCACCCTCGCCCGTTCGGGATTCCCCGTATTGATCCCGCCCAAGAATACTTACAAAGTTCGTAACTTTTGGACAATGTTTGCATATACATAGAAAAAAATAAACGACCCTCTTGGGTTTATTGTGCTGCAAACACAGTTGGCTTTCACTATCGGCTCTCGAAATAAACAGGCCATTCTTGATTCTTATCAAAGCGAAATCTTTTGCTATACAGTGAATTCTTTAATGATTAAGCCAAGAGAATATAAACTCTCTTGACCAAGCTTGTATTGCAAGATTACTGGATATTAGCCTCGTTCTTCTACTACTTTTTTATGGACCGAGACTTCGTCTCGGTCCATAAAAACGCAAAAAAAAAAAAAAAAAAAAAAAAAAAAGAACTCGGCCAATATCCAGCCATTTTGACCTTACGCTTGGTCAATAACGCACGTGAATATATTTTTTATGCAGACCCGTACAAATCTGGCAAGGGAAGACAGTACAAAAAATGTCCTTCCGAGCCCAGAATTTGTCTAACGTATAAGTGTTAACTTCAGCACTGATGACAGAAGTATATCGTCAAAATCTGTCACACTTAAGAGTCTGAGCCAATGATATAAAGAGAGCTATTGGTCAACGTTCTCATTGCTTTTGCGTCCGTCAATTTGATGCCAAAAGCACATCAGTACAGTATCAGTATAAGATTTTGTAGCCAATGCTTCTCAACCTGTGTCTTTAGCAAATACAAAGAAGCTGATTAATATCAGTTAGCCCGTAATATTCCGTGAATATTGGTCAGAGGATTTGTTGGTGCAACAGCTGTCACTTTAACATCTCAATGTTAGCGCAGTTAAACGATTGCATAGGAGGCTTATTACATCTAGGACCGAACGTTATTACATTTAGGGCTTTATTACATTTAGGACCAAATGTTATTACATTTAGGATTTTATTACATTTAGCACAGTTATTACATTTAGGACTTCAACAAGACCCGCTCGGCTTTCTAAGGCAATTTTTGAGTACATCGGTGAACTTAATTTTAGACTTAATTTTTATATACATATACTTCGTGTCCCCAATTTTTTTCCAAGATAAACAATAGAGGGGAAAATGGCTGGGATGCTGACATACATTTACACTTTTCGATAATATACAGAAAATATAAAGAAAGGAAAAAGTTTTGTAAAAGGTTGTAAAAGTGGATAAATTCAAGTGGTAGTAAATTTGTTATTGCGATTAGAAGTGTCTAAGCCTTAGTTTAAGTTTTCTGATAATCGAGAAGAGCGATATTCCCGTTGTAAACCAAAATGCATGTGAACCTTGCTAAACGAGGAAGCTAAAAACAATTTCGATCAAACCATTAAATCAAGTTTATGACCATAATCGTCATTTCTTTTGTTGCCGTCAACCGGAATGGCAGTACCTTTCAAAAATTAATATGCTTCAGTTAAGCAAAGTTTCAATAATTTTCAGTGCAGTTCATACCAAAATACCAGAATGTGTCAAAGGCAATTTGTCTCGGATCCCAAGCGAATAAACCAGTTCTGTTCTATTATTAAGAAAGACGAATTGAAATTAAAATAAATTCTAGTAGCGTCTAGCACGTAAGCTTTTGACTGGCTTTTTCCGATAATGTAAAGTAAAAGTGAATCAAATGACAACAGATAATTTAAATAATAGCCCTCTATTTTCCCCAGATAAAGATATGGCATCAACTAGCACTTCAGGTACATTGGGTCAAATGGCTAAACCAGAGTACAGAAACTGGCTGGCACTCGGTCATGCCTTGACAACGGTCTTGTGCCAGGGACTTCGTCCATTTGTCAAGCAAGAGGTGGAGGCCTTGTATGGGTACGTAACGGTAAGAGTACGCACACCTTGCACATGTAGGAGGCCAATTGTGTACCACGACATGAGTAATTGTATAGGGGCACAAGTCTTGGCCTCTTATCATTATAGAGGCAAACCAAACTGGAAACAAAGTGATCCAGCCAAATGGATGGACCCAGTTCTTGGTCCGTGGGAGATTGCGAAACTCTTCCTTCCTGCTCTGGGTGGACATGCTAATATAAGGAGTGCAGACGACATGGATATCAGTGGTATCTTGAACTTAATGTACTGGTGCAATCACTTCACCATTCCTCAATCCCTGATCGACGCCGTTCGAGATATAAGAAACGACAGATGTGTTCACGTGCCGAAGCTTGAGTTATCAGATGCTGATAAGACTGCCGCTTTTGGTACTATTGAAAACTTGCTAAATGACCCTCAACTGGCTGCAGATGAAGACGCAAAGAAAGCTCTCAGAGAAGTTATTAGTCTCAAAAGCATTACAGACTTACACAGTCGAGAGGCTCAGGTTTTGGTTGACTTAAAGGAAGATATACATGAAAGGATGTTGAGCTTGACCGAGGAGTTTGAAAGAAACCAAGAGTTGGTTACAGAGCTACAAGAAAGGCAGGAAATTTTAGAGATGGCTGTGGAGGATCTGAAGCAAGAAAGCAAACCATGGGGAGTGAGACTAATAGAGTGGGTCTTGGAGCTTATGATATATACTTTCGGAGTCCTCTTTGCGTTCTTAAAAGGTTTCCGGACAGAAATTCTATTTATGTTCCTATTTTCAGTGTTCTGTGCCGTTCTGGATCATGACACACTGATTAAAGATGGTAAGTTTAAAGCAATTCTTGACTCAATGAAGAAGCCATTTGTTGAGCCTTGGGAACCTTATTCCAATGTATGACTGAGATATGGGAACAGTATAGGCAGTTAGCTTTTTCGATTCAGGCAGCCAGGCAGCCAGGCAGCCTAACCCTAACCCTGAGTGAATAACTTTAACTAGTGAACTATTGATTAAATAAATAGCTAGCTAACCGGTAGCTGGACTATTTTCAAGTCACGGCAGATCAAACACATAGGAAGGTTGCGATCCAAGCTGATTTCAGCATCTCATCATGCATAATTTATTTTCCGCTGCCTCTTTTTCTCATTTTTCGTAGTGTCTGTAGGTCCATACCAATCAATTGGATGTTACAAAGATTTTAATGACCGAGCCATACCAACTTTGGAAGGGCAAGATTCGATCCTAGATGGCAAGTACAATGCACGGAGTAACTCTATCGAGAAATGCTATAAAGCAGCGAAGAAGCGAGGATTCCAAGTGTTTGCAGTTCAAAATGGGGGATGGTGCGCCTCAAGTGCTTTCGCCATTGGGACGTTCACCAGATATGGAAAATCGTCAGCTTGTAAGTCAGACGGCGAAGGTGGACCATGGGCCAATCAAGTTTATTATATCAAAGGTTAGTACATTAACATACTTTCGATCGTTTTACATGTGTTCGTGTGGTCTGATCGCAAGACTGTTATCGGTAGTATTGACAGACGTTTCGACGTGAGAAGTTGTGGTTCGTGTAAACTGATCGCTCAGTTTAGCCGTTATTTTATTGGCTGTAGCGTAAGTCGGTCGTGAGTGGTCGTTTTACAGTTGTTTGTCACTGAAGCCCTTTCAGGAATAGTTAATTTTTTTTTGTTTTTGTTTCAGCAATCATTTTTAATCTTCTAAAAAGGCGCTGTCATTTTGTTCGTCGTGCTAGTTCTTGTGTCTTGTGATACTGCTTTCGCTATAGTGGAAACATCGATTTTTACTTTTGAAATGTTTCCCTTTGAGCACAATCTAAGATATCCTGATTTCGTTTTGCCAGTTTGAATTTCTTATATGTATCCTAGGCGAGTCACTTTGGTATTGTGTTGAGATAAGAAACAAAGCAGTTTACAATACTGAACAGTACCAGTAGCTGTGGTATTAGGACACTCCCTAGTTTAGAGGGTTTGAAAAGAATGAACTGAGTTTGCTTCCACCAAATTTCCTTCTCTTAGGTTATCAAGCCGTAGGATGTTATACAGATGCTTCAAATCGCACAGTGGAGACTCTAGAAGGAACAGATTCCGTCTTAGACGGCGCCTACAATTCACGTGTAAATCCCATTGCAAAGTGCGCCGTGGCTGCAATGCGAAAGGGCTACAATATGTTTGCAGTTAAGGATGGCGGCTGGTGTGCAGCAAGTTCTACTGCGCCACAGACGTTTGACAAATATGGAAAATCCACCTCTTGTAAGGGTGATGGCAAAGGTGGACCCTGGGCCAATAATGTCTATGTCGTCAATCGTAAGTGCAAATAAAGACCTTATGTTATCTTTCTAATTTGCGCCTGTTGAGCCATGAGGCCTACACACAGCGGCCGCACCTCTCTCAATGCCAGCTGCTGCTTTTTGTTTTCCACTGAAGTCTGACCATCATTTGATTTATAAAATATTCAAATTTCAGCGCTCGTTTTACCCTACGAAACGATCGGATGTTTTCAGGATCACGATGACCGAGCCATACCGACATTGGAGGGACAAGATCCTATTTTGAATGGAGACTACAAAACACGACTTGATCCCATCAGCAAATGCTTTCAAGCAGCTAAGAAGCGAGGATTTCGTATATTTGCAATTCAAGATGGTGGATGGTGTGCAACAAGCGCTTCGGCTGCCAAGACATTCAACAGATATGGTAAATCGTCAGCTTGTAAGTCAGATGGTGAGGGTGGACCATGGGCCAATCAAGTTTATTACATAAAAGGTCAGTGCATGACATAGTACACGGTCTGAACCTGAAGTAATAGTCGATCGTATGGTGAGCTCATCGGGTAGAGGTAGTTCTGAAACCTGGGCAGTAGTCCTCATTGGACACCTGAAAAAAAATTTTTTCTAGGCTATCTCATTCGGACGATCACACCGTACTGTCGACTGTTATTTTGTCGTCGTCGTTGTGTATGAAAAGCATTGTCGATCTTAAAAATGGAGCAAAAGCTATTACCATATAACCATTAAAATTATAGTGATAAGTGTTATGATTTTATTTTTTTTGGTAATTCTTTAGGTTATAAGGCCGTTGGTTGTTACAAAAACAGCTCAAATGACTCTCTGCCGGATATGGCAAGTAGTGGAATCGAAACGTTAGAGGGAAAGGATTCCAGCCTAGACGATGCTTACAATTCTCGTGAAAATCCCATCGCAAATTGTGCCGTGGCTGCTATGAGAAACGGTTACAGTATGTTTGCAGTTCAGAATGGCGGCTGGTGTGCAGCAAGTGGCGCCGCTTTAAAAACATTTGACAAATATGGAGAATCTACGGATTGTGAAGCTAATGGGAGTGGAGGACCTGCGGCTTATAACATATATTTACTGAAAGGTAATTATGAACTGCCAAAATCAGGGGCGGACAATAAACGCCACTCTTCCTGATTCTTTGTAAGCTGTGCGTTTTATGGAAATTGAATGAAAAGGCTCATCCCATGCAGACTCCTAAGATCTCCCAAGACGCTTTTCCTCAATGCATTCGTAAGAAGAATAAAAAGCTCAGCTGTACAAAAAAGTTTCAATGATACAGAAATAATGTTATTATTATTATCATTAGTGTCTTATTGATTGTGATACCAATTTAAAACATTTAGGACTGTACCTCGATGTATTACAAGTGGTAAATGAGTTCAATTCATATAACCCTCTTGCGCATACTTCCAGCTATAATTTTATAACGAACCTTATCTCGAAGTAAAAATTATTTTATTTGTGGATAGTGTTACCTTGCATAATGCTTTGGTGGTAATTTTGTGCCATGAAAGCTTTTGTCGTAAACAATTGCTACTAATGTACAAGGAGTCGGTTGTGTAGGACTGAAGCAGCAACGAAATTGAATCATAATAGATGACGTATGTTGTCGGCATACAAATGTTTTCGCCTGTCTCCCGATATTTAGGTCACGTGACGTTGGCTCAGCCAGAACGTTATCTTTGTCGAAGCCATGAGCAGGGTGAAGGTGATCATAACATGTCCCTTCTAAGGGATCAATCATTACTTATCTTCGAGGGTGGGGTCGGAGGATTTCTTGGGATCACATGATTTTCATGGGAAATGGAGGGGGGATCAATCGTCTCTAACGGAATTTTAAGGGGAGGGGGCACGGTAGAAAATTGACTGCCAATGGGGGGTAGAGGTTATTAGAATACTGCGGAGAATTTAAAGGGTATCAGGTTTTTATTATGATACAAACAATATCCTTTGAACTCCAACCCCCCACCTCCTCCCTCCAGGTGATAAATAGTGACAAATATACAAATAGTGTCCACGATTGCAGTGTCCTTTTTGGGATCTCCAGGTTACGTTGCCGTTGGTTGTTACAGAGAGAAACAAGATCGAGAAATTGACTCATTAGAAGGAAAGGATTCCATCCTGAACGACTCTTACAATTCTCGTGAAAATCCTATCGCAAAGTGCGCCGTAGCATCCATGAGAAAAGGGTACAGTATGTTTGCAGTTCAGGATGGCGGCCTTTGTGCTGCAAGTGTTACTGCGCCACAGGTGTTCGACAAATATGGAAAATCCACGAATTGTGAGGTTGATGGTACTGGAGGACCCGAGGCTATTAACGTATATTTGATAAAAGGTAAGTTGTAACAACTCTAAAGGATACCTGGTGTTGGGGACGATTCGCAGAGAGCTTTTTTGACGCGTAGTTGTAGAACACAACGCTTTTATCCGGGTCAGCTAGAGATTGCGTACAAATTTCAAATTACAGACATTTTCATTATTTTGTGTTGTCTCGAATTGATTTATACCTACGGTAAAAACTGAACAAAGAGAACCTAAATCAAAAACACATCGGGGTAAAAGAAAATTGAAATCTGATACTTAAATATTCTGTGCGATAATCGATGGGAAAAGTACAACAAATGTAACAAACAAACGTAGCAATTACGGTCCCCGAGACGAAACTGCTTGTAGGACAAAAGCCATGTGTGACCTAATCACTATCCAATCGTTCATTCGGCCGTTGGTCGGCCTCAACACCCGGCAATTACGATCTGCCCTCCGAAATCAGTTAACGCCAATCTTGATAATGCTTTCCAAACTGTGAAGGGGAGATCTCAGATTCCCTAAAATCCTCCAAGTTGCCGTTTTCTCTCATCTATGCGTTAAGCGCTAAAGAGCTCTATATTCCCCTGTTCAAGGCAGATTCAATGATTACTGATTGTGATTTCACACATAAACATTCTAGGACTACCTTAAATTAGCCTTCAATGTATTTCGCGAGCTGAATGATTTAAATTTCATTTTACCTTTTCCCCGGTCCTTTCTGCAAAAATGCTATAGAGACTTGTCAATGTAAAACTAATTTACAGGGAGTCATTTTATGTATTTCTTTCTTACCCGATATTCAGGTCATAAAGCCTTTCGCTCTTATAGAACGTTGTCATTGTCGACCACATGAATGGAGTAAAAGTTACCACGATGAGTTCCATCTAAATTACTTTTATCGTGATTGTGAGTTTCTATTTTTATCTTTAGAGTACGAAGACGTTGGTTGTTACAAAGACAAACAAGATCGTGCCATCGAAACATTAGAAGGAAAAGATTCCGTCTTAGATGACGCGTACAATTCTCGTGCAAACCCCATTGCAAAGTGTGCCGTCGCTGCAATGAGAAAGGGTTACAGTATGTTTGTAATTCAGAATGGTGGCTGGTGTGCAGCAAGCTCTACTGCGCAACAAACCTTTGACAAATATGGAAAATCTACGAATTGTATGGCCGACGGTGAAGGTGGACCATGGGCTAATAATGCCTATATATTAAGAGGTACCTTTTTGCGTAGAATCATAAGACTTAAGCAACTTGTTCGAAACCTGACTGATAGTTCGCTCTCAGATGTCTTCAAACTTTGAGATTCTCCTCCTGATGACCTCTAACGTTACTTGCTAATAGTATAACAATTTCTTTTGTTTTTAGTCCATTTAGATAATAAAAGAGTTGGAGGTCATGATAATTGTTCAAGTCACATGGTTCAACCTCTGGAAGAACGGACCTGAGCATGAACAGTCTCAAGATCAAAAATTCAATCTTCAAGTTTTAAAACCGGATCATTTTTCAAGCCTTCAGTCATTAAAGAATTTTTTTTTAAAAGGGATGACAAAGAATGATTACTTTTAGATTCTATGATTTATGTACCGTACGCATCGCACACAAGGATCGCGGTAGATTACAGGTATTGCTTCGGCCTTGCATAAAAGAAAGACACACTCTCGTTGCTACCTGTTTCCATATCAACCCAGTTTGCAGGCGTATAACGATATGTTCCTCTCGCCAAGGGACAAAGGGTTCAAGTCTATTCAGATAATTATTGAAGGAGAGAAAAATAGATAGAACAGTGCGTAACCTGCGAATATGTACACCGTTTTTCAACGCGTAAGGCGACAGTGAACTGCGCGCGGCGGCGGACTGGAGACTAAATTCCTCTCGAAACTTACGGTGCGTTACGGCCCGGTCCGCTGCTTTTCGTGGCAATATGGAGATGAAACGTGTTCACGAAGATGAAGAACTGTTTGAAAGTTTTGAAGTATGTCTGAACTCTCGCTGAAAAACCAAAAAAGTGAGGAAAGATGAAAATAAACAAACAATACTAATTCCTTAAATAAAATCAGACCCATGACCTTTGCAGAAAAATCAATATCTTTCAATTTTATATCATTGAAAAGTATTCATTGTGTAGTTCTCTTAAATTCGATGCTTGGGTTGCTGCAAGGAAGAAAAAAAAAATTTATATTTACTTACTTAGGCACGGTGCCGATCCCTTTTCTGACGATCTTTGCTCCTTGAATTTTTTGACTGTAATCATTACTATGACACAGAAAAAAGGCTGCGCATAGTTTTCACAGAAAAGTATTTCAGCAAAGTATTCAGTTTTTAATCTTGATATAGTGGACTTAAATCATTTTCTACTCAGACCGAGTGACTCGATTAGCGTCTCCCTAGTCCCTCCTTCACGAGGGTCCTGTGGGAAATTCAATTTCTTACCCAGACCTCTTCATTCGAATTGCATTTGCAGTTTACATTCCTTGATTCCTGTTTACGAGCGTAAATTTGTTGTGCGTTATTGAATTTACTTCAAAGTTTCCTCAGTTATTTCCAATTTCCTCATCAATTTCCATAAAAGAAAGATAGACCCCTTTGAGCTGGGTTAGTGATCAGCGGGAACAAACAATTAAAGGTGAGAAATATCAAACTTTCAACCGTATAATACGTGCAATCCTTTATTTCGCCAGACGGTGATGAATCGAGCTTTCAAATCGCCGTGAACTATTTTTTGCAGACGCATTTCCTCTGAAAATCATTTCCGTTGGCCTCATATCTGCTCGAAAAAAAAAATCATATGCTTTGCAAACATTACGACGAAGTATATTTGAGAATGTCTGGATAAACTCGCGATAAAGCGAATGATAAAAACGAAATCGTGTAGTCAACTGAGAAATTATAAACAGTTTTACCATGAGAGGTCATCATTTGAATACTTTAGATTACAATCAATAACTCTTAAAATGCATCAAAGTCTAGAGAGGAGAGGTGGTCGCCTGAATGAATAAGGTTTAAAATTTGAATATAATGATATACCTAATATATAGAGGTCTGCCTTAGTATATCTTATCGTTTCATAACTGAAATAACTTAGCGTTGCTTCTCAACATCATTTGACCTTTGGTATTTACCATGATGCGCGTACAAGAGAAAATAATGTCCCATAATTTACCCACGGCGTGCATCAAAAATACATTCGCTTATAAAGACTTAACGCGATAACATAGTATAATTAGCCAATTAATATCCTGTGCGGACTCTGGTTTGGGATTCTCCTTTTCGAATTTTTTTGAAAATAACGCAACAAGGTCTTTTACGAACTTTCCTGTCTTTAGTATGGTCTCCGCGTCATTACTTTTACTAAAATATAGGTACTTCCGAGAAGGATGAGGCGAAATCGAAAAGGAGGCGCTGAATCCATCACATATTTAGCTGAGTTGTTGATTTATGGTTTGGTGATTGCGTGATTACCGTGCACACTTATGGGTGAATCTATGAAACAAACCGTGGTTCGATTGCGGTAGATGAGGCAGTCATTTAAAATTTGAATCCTACACTAAAGATTAACGAAACTTTCACTCCGTCGGCCGGTGTCGTTGAAGAAGTTGCCCAGGTATTATTACGTTAATGGTTTACGATGTGAATTTGGACGGTTGATTTATTTTAATTTGCAAAGATTATTCTATAATCTGTCAGGACATGTGTCGGGGGTTTCCCGTCTGGAGTGTTTTTGAAGATGACGTGATGCAAAGTTTGTTACCAATCTTGAAAGGTTTTTCATAGCTCTCACAGGAATAAACAAACCATCTAGTTTTGTCGAGCTTTGGATATTCATAGCTTTGAGACCCCCTCGGCTTTCTAAGGCAATTTTTGAGTACATCGGTGAACTTAATTTTAGACTTAATTTTTATATACATATACTTCGTGTCCCCAATTTTTTTCCAAGATAAACAATAGAGGGGAAAATGGCTGGGATGCTGACATACATTTACACTTTTCGATAATATACAGAAACTATAAAGAAAGGAAAAAGTTTTGTAAAAAGTTGTAAAAGTGGATAAATTCAAGCGGTAGTAAATTTGTTATTGCGATTAGAAGTGTCTAAGCCTTAGTTTAAGTTTTCTGATAATCGAGAAGAGCGATATTCCCGTTGTAAACCAAAATGCATGTGAACCTTGCTAAACGAGGAAGCTAAAAACAATTTCGATCAAACCATTAAATCAAGTTTATGACCATAATCGTCATTTCTTTTGTTGCCGTCAACCGGAATGGCAGTACCTTTCAAAAATTAATATGCTTCAGTTAAGCAAAGTTTCAATAATTTTCAGTGCAGTTCATACCAAAATACCAGAACGTGTCAAAGGCAATTTGTCTCGGATCCCAAGCGAATAAACCAGTTCTGTTCTATTATTAAGAAAGACGAATTGAAATTGAAATAAATTCTAGTGGCGTCCAGCACGTAAGCTTTTGAGTGGCTTTTTCCGATAATGTAAAGTAAAAGTGAATTAAATGACAACAGATAATTTAAATAATAGCCCTCTATTTTCCCCAGATAAAGATATGGCATCCACCAGCACTTCAGGTACATTGGGTCAAATGGCTAAACCAGAGTACAGAAACTGGCTGGCACTCGGTCATGCCTTGACAACGGTCCTGTGCCAGGGACTTCGTCCATTTGTCAAGCAAGAGGTGGAGGCCTTGTATAGGTACGTAACGGTAAGAGTACCCACACCTTGCACATGTAGGAGGCCAATTGTGTACCACGACATGAGTAAATGTATAGGGGCACAAGTCTTGGCCTCTTGTCATTACAGAGGCAAACCAAACTGGAAACAAAGTGATCCAGCCAAATGGATGGACCCAGTCCTTGGTCCGTGGGAGATTGCGAAACTCTTCCTTCCTGCTCTGGGTGGACATGCTAATATAAGGAGTGCAGACGACATGGATATCAGTGGTATCTTGAACTTAATGTACTGGTGCAATCATTTCACCATTCCTCAATCCCTGATCGACGCCGTTCGAGATATAAGAAACGACAGATGTGTTCACGTGCCGAAGCTTGAGTTATCAGATGCTGATAAGACTGCCGCTTTTGATGCTATTGAAAACTTGCTAAAGGACCCTCAACTGGCTGCAGATGAAGACGCAAAGAAAGCTCTCAGAGAAGTTATTAGTCTCAAAAGCATTACAGACTTACATAGTCGAGAGGCTCAGGTTTTGGCCGACTTAAAAGAAGATATACATGAAAGGATGTTGAGCTTGACCGAGGAGTCTGAAAGAAACCAAGAGTTGGTTACAGAGCTACAAGAAAGGCAGGAAATTTTGGAGATGGCTGTGGGGGATCTGGAGCAAGAAAGCAAGCCTTGGAGAGTGAGACTAACAGAGTGGGTCTTGGACCTTATGATGTACACTTTCGGAGTCCTCTTTGCGCTCTTAAAAGGTTTCCGGACAGAAATTCTATTCATATTCCTATTTTCAGTGTTCTGTGTTGTTCTGGATTATGACACACTGATAAAAGATGGTACGTTTAAAATTATGTATTGCATTAGCCGTAGTTTATATTTTAATGCTTTCATAGAATTCTTGACCTAATGAAGAAGCCATTTGTTGAGCCTTGGGAACCTTATTCCAATGCATGGCTGAGATGTGGGAACAGTAAAAGCAGTTAGTTTTTTTGATTCAAACATCAGAACCATGATGTAAGGTAAACGTGTTGGGAAATAGGCGAAAAATAGATTTTTACTCCTCTCCACGCCTCTCGTTAGATTATATTTTAAGAATGAAAACAGTCCACAGCTTGTCTCTTACCGGTATCATTTCAATTTACCTAGGATGTTCTATTAAACGATACGACGATCGGTGGAGCCTGAAGCATTTCGACTTTGATGACTTTGCTTCTACATCTAGATCAGATTTTATCGGAAGAAAGTGGTTATATCGTGATATGGAAGATTTAATGGAAAATTCAAGTTACCGTGGCGTATTGCTTGTTGGAAACCCTGGTTCTGGTAAGACAGCTTTTGTCTCAAATTTACTTTGTTCCAGAAGTGCAAGCCCACTCATTCATGATAGAGTAGCTGGTTATCACTTTTGTATGTATTCGGACAAAGGAACTCAAAATGGGGCCAAATTTGTGGAAAATCTGGCAAACATGATTGCCTCAAACTTCGCAGAATACGGCGAAATCATTTTGAGAAATTCCCTTGTTCGTCGAGTGTTACAAAAGAATTGTGCCCAAGCCCCAGATTGGTGTTTTCAAGAAGGTGTTCTTACACCTCTGAAAAACCTGCCGCACCCACCGAAAGAGACGTGGTATATTGTTATTGATGCCTTAGATGAGTGTTCAGTCGATGGCCAAGGAGAAATTTTAAAGATGCTGAAGTCCAAATTGCGACGCTTCCCTAAGTGGTTAAAACTGATTACTACATCACGTAATACAAGTTTCATCACTTCGTACCTGGATGGTATGAAAATACTGGAATTGAAATCAAAAGACCACAGAAACTTAGAAGATATTGATACTTATTCATCCCTTAAGATATACACTTTGAAATCTTCTCTCTTACATGGTTTAAAGGCTTACTTTTCAATCAAGAACAACAATTCCCTTAATCAACAAATCGTTACTAGTCTTAAGGAAAGAGTTCAAGGTAATTTCTTATTTGCAAAGGTCCTTTTAGATTGCCTTCTTGAAACACCGGAAAGAGTCAGTTGGACTGACCAGGGCTTTCCAAAAACACTTGATAACATTTTCCAACTGAATTTTGAACGTAAGTTTAGCTCACGCGAATCATTTCGCTCCTCACGAGAGATTTTTGAAATCCTGGTTGCCGCCTATACACCACTATCCGCTGAAGACATATACTATGTCTTAAAACTTGACCATCCTGACCTTGACTATGAGTACGATTTAATGCCAAAACTTAAAGAAGTGTCATTGTTTCTTTGGGATAGATCAGAAAAGGGACTTGTTCGCATTTATCACTCTGCCTTGTCAGAGTGGCTGACCAGTGAATCCAATAAGGGAAACCTTTTTTACGTCAAGAAACAGAAAGGGCATAGACGTCTTGCAGAATATTACCTTCAACAGTTAAAGAGGACATTGAGAGCCCTGACACCGGTGGAAGCCTTTTATTTAGCCCGCCACATCATAGAAGCAGGTTCAAACAGGAATCAAGTGAATGAATTTCGGTCACTGCCTTCAAATCTCGTCAACGGATCAGATGAAGTAAAAACCACTTCATTACACTTAAGTTCACGTTTGGTAAATCCAGATATTACTAAACTTTTAGTGACACATTTCGATGATATCGATTGTTTGGATAATAACCACCGTACACCCGCCTTCATTGCTGCAACTGGCGGAAACCGTAAAAATCTTATCTTTCTTTATACAAAAGGGGCAGACATTGATCATACCGTCTCTTGTCCAGATTTTGAGGTGCCAATGAAAGTGCAAAAAGCTTTGCGAGAATGTAAAAGAAGAACGTGCGAATATTCATTGATGCACATAGCTGCTCAGGAAGGAAATGTTGATGTTGTTGACTTCCTAATCGTCCATCACGTGAGTGCATGGAAAACAACAGGCTGCAATAACACGGCTGTCCAGTTGGCAGCCGCAAATGGGCATCTCAAGGTCGTTTTAGCTCTTAAAAAGGCTGGCGCTGTTTTAGATGGAATTTCCCTACATCATGCCGCTGCTAGAGATCACCATTACGTCGTGGAATATTTATTAAAAGAAGGCGTTAGGGATGTCTGCATAGATTTAAGTCCTTTCATCGAGCTCTGCCCAGCAACGAATATTAAAGATATCAAGGCTCATGTGTATGACAACGAACACTTGAAATTAGGCGAGACCGCGCTTCATGTTGCAGCCAAGAATAATCACCCATCTGTTATCAAAACTCTGCTAGTTTATCGTGAGGAGAGTGCCATCAATTGCTCGAATGCGGCGGGAAGACGGCCCTTACACGAAGCGGTTTACTATAACAATTATAACGCACTGCAGGCGATGCTAGCTGCGGGAGTGAATACATCCGTACGTTGTGACTTACGCCCCCGAAAGTTATGCTTAAAACAGAAGTGCTGCTCTTGCGAATTTACCCCGCTTCACATTGCAGCCAAATATGGTTATTACAGTGCTGTTCAACTACTAATTACAGAGAAAGCAGACTTGCATGTAGAAGATTGTAATGGTTCGACCCCGCTTCATATTGCTTCCTGTCATGGAATGGTGTCAATTATTACCCTTCTCGTTAAAAGTGGAGGAAATATCAACAGAAGAAGCTTTAATGGATCAACTCCCTTTCATAGCGCTGCTACATGCTTTGCGACAAATGCTTTTTGGCTTTTGCTGGACCTTGGTAGTGATTTCTTCGCGAAGGATAGTAGAGACATGACGGCATTACATTATGTTGTAAAAGACGTGGAAGTTGTCGGTAGAGAGTACTTTGTTGACTTGTATGTTGTAAAGCCAAAAGATTGGATTGAAGTTGGACCGAAAGATAAAGAGCCATGGGAGAGAGGCGAATATCAACGCTTTTGGCTAAATGTAATGATTAAAATGAGCAAGAATTTCGTTGCCAATCTCGTCCACAAGAAACTTCCATACCATGAAAATTCAATATATAACTTATATTTGTCTGTCTTTCTCGAAATTTGGAAAAAAGCAAACGCTTCTTCTTTCTTAACTGGGAGTGATGGTTTCGATCAAAGTGCTCTAGTGACTATGTCAACTCCAATCGCTTATTTCTTCGACGTAACTCTCCAGGCTTTCCTAGAGAGTAACCTTTTTACTCTAAACAGACCATATGAGCCAAGTGTTCTTCCAGAACAGTTGACAAGAGCAATATCGCATACGTTCACAATATTTTATCCGAACTTACGTAACTGCACGCTTCTTACTAGTGCAGTGAGGGAAAATATGGTTCGCACAGTGAACACTGTTTTACAAGCAGGCGCGGATGTTAACTGCCAAGATCAGTATGACAAAACTCCACTTTTATCGTATTTACACATTGGCGGCCGTCACATGTCGAAAGTCCTGGTAAAACATGGAGTGAGTGTAGATATCTCGTGCGAAGAACCATTTGAAAAATCTTCCCTGCATTTGATATCTTACCACAAGTTATATTATTTGCACTATCTTCCTCAGTTCTTGCGTGGAGATGACATGTGGTTTGAATCCTTATCAAATGAACGTCTTTTTTTTGACTACTTTTTAAAGGAAGAGGGACGGATAGAAGGACACACAGAGACAATTCACACTGGGGATGGACCCTTAACCCGTGCTATGAAGTCGCATCCCCGCGGAACTAAAATTCTAAATGAATGCTTTGATGCTGAAGGTTATAATGCCTTACACAGAGCAGCACAGGGTGCAAACGCGTTTGCTATCGTGAAATTCCTCTCATGGGGAGCTAATCCCACCCTAAAGAACTCAGACGGATATTCCCCGCTATGGCTTGCAGTGTTTTATTCGGTTAAATACACACCATTTTTAAATTTGCATCGGAAAAGTGTCTTGGTGGACTTAGAAGTGGATCTCGCATCAATTTCTGCGTTGATCATTTTAGACCATGCCCTTCAAACTGACACGATGGATATCGGCTGCGGCGGAAGTCAACTCAATTTAACCATATACCATATCGCAGCTATTCGAGGAATGTGGCGGTTTATAGCTCACTTACTTACAGAGAAGCGTGTCAAAGGAATCGATGTGAACTGCCCTAATAAAGATGGCATTACTCCAATGTATCTCGCAGCGCTCGTTGGTGGCCGGAATTGCATTGAGTGGCGAAGCCCTTGGTGCAAGGTTATGGAAATAATCAGCCTGCACGGCGGAATACTTCAATATCCTACACTTCAGGCTGAATACTTTCTTATATTTGATCTCTTTTTCGGAATGAGTCCAGGTCAAACGTACTCGGAGTTAGTAGAAAACGAAATTATTGCACTTCAAGCCAGCACTGAACATCAAGAGTGCAAGGGATATGAATTGAATACTTACCTGTCAGAAACGTCTGGGAAACTAAATGAACTTTACTATGACTTCGATAGAAAGATGAAAAAGTGTTCAAGTGGCAGTGATGAATGTTTACCAGAGATCAATCGGCATTTGTCCCAACTAGAATCCCTCAAGTTGGTTTTACACAAACTACACCGCTTCCAACTGCGACACGCTCCTATCAGAAGTGGTTTTGTCAGTTTTCTAGAGGAGGAAACTTTGCGAATGCAAATGCTTTTGCTGGTCGTTACTCAACCACATGAAAGGGCGTCTCGCGGATTGGATGGAAAACAAAACGAAAAGAGACGAAAAACTCAAGGCAAAATGGGCATTGCTGATCGTGGACATGAAGATAATGAAGATAACAATGACAACAACGATGGCGACAACAATGATGATGATGACGTCGACGGATGGGAGTGCATGAACATAGACCGGGCTCTTCGAATATCTTATAGGGATTTTAAAACAAGCTTTGATCAGGTGCAAAAGCTTTCTGAACAGGCGAGATCATCTATCTCATTCCTGGGGAAGAAGCCTCCGGGTTTTCTTCGAAAGATAAATCGCGCGTTGCTCAAACTTGATACTACTATGGCATGCGACTGGCAAGCAATTGCTAGGAAGTATACGACATTAAACTTCCAAATTCAGAACTCAAAGCTCGGCACTTTACATGTAAATGAGCATACCAGGGTTGTAAGTATTACAGACTTTGCTTCAATACGTATGAGGGAAATATTCATTCATTCATCTCCGGAAACACTGGAGCTTGCTTTAAAACTTGCGTCGGAGAAGTCTTCAAAAGTATTTGATGACCTTTATTACCTCACAAATTTAAAATTTAGAAAGCCGCCTCTTTGGAAAGGTACCTTTGAATTATGGGGTTGGTACAGGTGACTTTCAAATTCCTTCTAGATGATTACCTCAGCATCAACTTAGGCTGCTAACGAACACTAGATTGTTTAGAACTCCATCGTTTCGCATTAATGAGTAAATGATATTCTAACCAAGAAGAACGCTGTACCACAGCGTGTTCATTTAAATGCGTATTCAATCCACGTGTTCGGCTAAATATGTATTAAATTGTATTGTAAATGGATATTCCTTCTTGTTGCCGGTTCAAGGTAAAAAAAAAAGTCGTGTCGAATTGAAATTTCAAGATTTAATCTGTGTAAGGCAAGTGGTGGAACGTCTCTTCTACAACCAACCGAAATGGGGCAGAACCGATTGCGCAGGAGTATTAAACACATTTGGATTATTTGCTCCATTTGACTCACACCTCTTAACTTAAAGAATAAAGGGAGAAATTCTGTTATAGTACTTGTATTTTGCAATTAGATATATCAGTATTAGGGACTGAATCTTTTGAAATGACGCTTGAAAGATGGATAAACTTGACTGAATCCAAGAAATACGTTTTACGTAGTTAAATCTTTATACAAAACACTGTTGTGTGTGGATCATTCATGGCCTAAAATTCTCCTTTAGTAAGACTTTCATTTCATTTCCAATTCAAATCGCTAAAATGGGTTTTGAAATGTCACGAGTCCAAATCTTAATTTTTTTGTTTCACGTAGCCAGAATATCGAAAATTCTCAATGCCTTAGCATTACTGCCTTTTGATTGAATTAGGCCTATCAGTAAGCTGTTAAAGCAAATTTCGAATCAGATAATTGTTCTTGGTAGATGCATAATAATCATTATGATAAATTTAACTGTAGTCTATTTTGAAATTAAAGTACTTTCATCAGATCAAGTGTCCATTCAAGTTTCAGTTTTCAGTTCGACTCCGCGAAAATATCATATTTTTCGGTTTCTCCAGTCGTCGCGTAAAAAATTTAAAATTAACTGGCCAACGACTGACAATACACTCACCGTTTCCTTTTCAAGAACTTGTTCTGTTTTACCATCGTTTCAAATTGTTATAGATGCGAGTCTTATACCCTAGTAAAAAAAGTCTTACAGCACAATCCTGTTTAGTCCTCGATTATGTTCCAGGTTTCCCTATTTTGTATATAACATCATAAACACCACAGAATGCTAGCGCTTCAAATGAATCTTCTATCATTCAGCTCTGAAAATCCGCACTACTCCCAAATAAGCTTTAAATGTGCAGGCCCAAATGTATAAAACAGAAAGTTTAAGGTGGAAAGTTTTAGTTCTGAAAGCAATAAAACTGAAGGCTAGATTTCCGAAGCTACATTTATTTGCAAATCCCTCATATTCATTTTCATCCCCACTGATCCCTCGTTCTTCTTTACATTACATCACTAATTCAAGCCTTTTCTGATTTTCTTCTCATCAGGACATGTTTTAATTTACGACTTTTCCTGAACGTGAAGGGAAATGTACTGTTAACAGCAAAAACAGTTGAAAATATCACAACGAAGTCCATTTAAGTTTAAATCAGATTTACTCGAATACCGATGCAAATTAAATCAATAAGTCGTCTATTTGGTCTGTGACACTACCAAAAAATGAACTGAAGTAATCTAACTTAGATTAAAGCAGAAACAAAACAAAACTAAACATATTCAAACCTTAGTAAGAGACCACTGGAAACTTGACTTAAAAACGCTAAAAACGCGTCAATTCCAATTTCATGTAAATTTGGGAATGAAAAACACCCAAATTTATTACAAAACAATCCAGATACGACAGCCAAACAAAGAATTCAAGCTCTTGGGAAAAATGATAAGTGTTCGCAGTTTGCCAAATCATTCACAGGAAACGCGGCTGTCATCTCACAGCTTGGACGCAAAGTTAAAAGGAAAACTCAAGGCAAGTAGTTACATGCTAACACTACTATCATGATAGGAAGATTGGTTTCTTGCAGTACATGAACCGGGTATCTTTCTGATCATACGTGATTACGATGTTAGCCATTCAAAAGTAATGAATACCACGGAAGAGAAGTGATTGATCAATTTTTAAAACAAATGAACCAGGTTAGCAAAATTTTGACCCGAATTTGTATGTAGGCAAATGTAATACATTGATAGTCAGCATCATCCTTAATCTCATGAATGGAGAAAGGTTTTCATGACCTCATGAACGAAAATATTACTGAAATGAAATATTCAGATGAATGGCAAATAGCGAGTAAGTATCATTCCATCAAGAGCTTCAAATTCACTTTTCAGGTATACTTTTCATCAAAGCTACGAAACAGTGACAATTTTCGATCAAAATTTAAATGCCGAGAAGGGGATTATTGAATCATTGTGGGGATTTAAGCGGGAATTCTTAGCAATGATATCGATGATGGAAGGCAAAAGTGCACAGAAATGATACGCGCAAGTTCTGAAACCAAGTTGTAATTACCTGTGGAAGGTAAGTAGTGTTTGACCTCTACCTTGATTGGTGGTCCCTTATCTTAATCCGAGAGAAAATTAATTGGCTAAAATCAAGTTGTTCTACGTCTCTAGCGGGTTTGAAGAAAATCCATCCAAAGTCTAAGAAAGATCAAAACACATGTCAGTGAAATTTTTAAAATTTAATCCTCGCGAAACCGCCTTTAAAAAACCTCCGACTAACTAGCAGCCCAGTTCATGCTTCAGGGAAGTGTCCTAATACGTCTTTTGAAACTAATTGAAATGTGCAGTAAGAGTTTTTACATAATCTACGCCTTTAACGGTGTGTTTGCAATACTAATCAGTTTATGCCCTCCAGTAAATACATTAAGAAACTTGATTTCAGAAAAAAAAATTGTGGATTGTAACTTGGCCATCAAACCAGATCCAGTAAGGTTTTCTTTTGTTAGTATTTGGCGACGTACTGGGTAGGTCTGTATGAAAAACAAACATTCGAAAATAAAGTTTAGTAGTGAATTGGTGAATTTGACTGTACAGTGATGATATTTTCTCGCATCTTTGAATAATTTTAAAAGTCATTGAAATCTGTTAACTTACTGATTCACTGAATTTAACATGCATATGCTTGAATTTGATCCAATAATTACCTTGCCATGTTTAACGAAGCTCTTTCTTTCTCGGCTATAAATCGTCCTGTATCCAAGAGGCAGTGTGGCCTTTGCTCGAGCATTACTTTGGTAATAATACACACATATACAGCTATTTCAATTTACGTTGTCGGATCAAAGCTTCAAGGGTACGGGACAAGACCGAAAGGCGGTATGGGTAGATTAGAATTAGTGCACTGGCCCTTTTTTTACTCTCCAGCTAGTAGTGCACTTGCCCCTTTTTACTCACCTTTTAGTAGTTCACTAGCCCCTTTTTACTCATCTGTTAGTAGTTCACTGGCCCCTCTTTACTCACCTGGTAATAGTGCACTAGGGCCTTTTTACTCTCCTTTTAGTAGTGCACCAGCCCCTCTTTACTCACCTTTTAGTAGTTCACTAGCCCCTTTTTACTCACCTGCTAGTAGTTCACTGGCCCCTTTTTACTCTCCTGTTAGTAGTGCACTAGCTTCTTTTTACTCATCTGTTAGTAGTTCACTGGCCCCTTTTAATTCTCCTGTTAGTAGTGCACTGGCCCCTTTTTACTCACCTGTTAGTAGTGCACTGGCCCCTTTTTACTCACCTGTTAGTAGTGCACTGGCCCCTTTTTACTCACCTGTTAGTAATGCACTGGCCCCTTTTTACTCTCCTGTTAGTAGTGCACTAGCCCCTTTTTATTCACTTGTCAGTAGTGCACTGGCCCCTTTTTCTCGCCTTTTAGTAGAGCACTGACTCCTCTTTACTCACCTGTTAGTAGTGCAGTGGCCCCTTTTTACTCACCTTTTAGTAGTGCACTGGCCCCTTTTTACTCACCTGTTAGTAGTTCACTGGCCCCTTTTGACTCAGCTGTTAGTAGTGCACTGGCCCCTTTTTACTCACCTGGTAGTAGTGCACTGTCCCCTTTTTACTCACCTGGTAGTAGTGCACAAAGAACAGGCTTTCAGTAGCTGTCTGGAGAACCTCTCGTTGTTGTCATATTGCTCCCAGAGATCGAAGATTTTTGCCTGCAGGTCTCTGTATTTGCGGCGCTGGATCCTTCGTAGTTTTTTCTCTGATACCAAACGTATCTGGATAGCTGTTAGCTGGGCCTCCTGGTGTAGCAGCTTGATCAGGACGTACGTGCCAGCCCTCGAGGTCGTTGTTCGTTCGTACTGCTTGTTTGAAGACTGTCCAGTCGGCAGGGCTCCATGTCGCGTTGCTGATCCAGGTACTGTTGACATACTCGGCGAACTCTGCTAAGGTCGGGGACTCTGCCTGGCGTTGAAGACGCTGAAACTCGGTCAGGATCTCTCCCTCGGGCAGGAACGGAAGTGCCATCATCTTACGGATGTAAGTGTAAGTGCCTCTGTCGTTGCTGTTGGAAGTATCTCGAGCAGCTGTTTGAAGACCTTTCGATAGTCCTTCTTGTTCTTCGCTCGGGCGAGGGCGAGGTACTGTAGTTGCTGTCCTGTGGCAAACATCAAGTGGCGACGGCCATTTACTTGAACATCGGCGCGGAAGAAGCCAGCCGGGAGGTGGTCGTGCTCTAACTCGAAGGCTAACTCTGTTGGGTCTTTTGGCCTCAGGCGTTGGCGGAACCGGTTGGCAGTCCTGGCGATGTATTCAGGTTTGGGTAGACTCGGGCAGGGAGCATCAGTCAGCTCTTGTAGAAGTATCTCCTGGACGATACTCGACGCTGGTCGGAAGATGTTCTCGGCGGCGATCGCTTTGACTTTGGCTGAGATAGTGGCTGAGACTGCTGCGCCGACGTCTGCGGGATGGTTGTGTGCGTGTGCTTCGATCTGGAATGAGCCATCGTCGCGCTCTATAAGAGCCGCTCTACATGGGTTCACCTTCAATAAAACAGAATGACATACACTCTGCGCAGCGCCAGTCGATAGGTGAATCAGTCTGGACGGCTTCACGATAATCAGCTAAGCTGATTCCAGTTCCACAGACGCGATGTTGCCACCTGTTGCAG